GGAGGGAGGGAGGAGCAACCTGATGAGGAAACAAGAGGTGCGTATTTATCAGGATGATCTCCGGACGAGGAAGGTGTTGACATCTTTGACAGCTGGGGAGATTGAAGAGAGGTTACAGGGAGCAGAGCAGAGAAGAGCAGAGCAGAGCAGAGCAGAGCAGAGGTCACCTTGAGGAGGAGAGCTTCATTCTTGCAAGCATCGCGACTCTGTCGCCGAAGTCATGGAAGATAATGTCTTGCTGGTCGAGCAGCTCGATCTCGTGCTTGACGAGGGTGACCAGACCGTCTCCTCGCCCTCCTGTCCGACTCAACTGCATCCACTGATACCTGCCGACAGCACGCGGTCATGATTTGCTTCCTCCTTACTTATTGTCCCCCCTTCGCCCCCCTCCTTGCGTCCTCCTGCTCACTTTGATCCGAGCTTGTCTCTGTACATCTTCACTATTTCTTCGTTGTTGACCCAAAATTCCTGTCTGTGCTCAACAGTTGTCAAGAGTCATAATGGAGGAGGGAGGAGGGAGGAGGGAGGAGGGAGGAGGGAGGAGGGAGGAGGGAGGAGGGAGGAGGGAGGAGGGAGGAGGGAGGAGGGAGGAGGGAGGAGGGAGGAGGGAGGGACTTACGAGGCAGATTATGTCGCTTCCGCATGATTGGAGGAGCTTGAGGATTTCTTGCTGTCTCTCGTTGTATCTGCAGCTCAAGTCAGCACAAGGGTTTGTGTCTGGGAGCTGCAGCAGGCACAACATGGCAGGGAAGCTGCTCTCGCGTTCCTCTCCTTGCAGCCTGCGAAACAGAGGGCAGAGCATGTTGAACGTTGTCACGGAAAGCTCCCGTCCTCGGCACACGCACAGCGATGGAGACCCTCCACGTCCTGCCGCAGCCTCTCCTCCTCCTCCTCCTCGCAACGTCGGGCGCCCCAACCCTCCACTCAATGTCAGGCCATGGCGCGAAAGTCTCGGCGGCTCCGATTGACTTGGGGGCTCAGAGGGGGCGGGACAGCCAGTCCACGCGCCCAAGACAGCGAGGAGGATGAGCCTGCACAAGGTTCGGGACCCGAGCTGCATGCTCGGTCGTGTTCAAGAGCTCAGCTGGTGCGCAGCTCGCAAGTTGGTCAGGACAGCAGCTCATGTCTCATGCTCTCAAGCGAGGCAGACGCTTGCGGGTCGACACCTGCATTCACACTTGATGAGGATGAACGACAAGGATGGACGAGGAACACTACCACACCCTGACAACCTGTTCTTGCTTCCCTCCATCCTCTCTGTTTCCCTTCAAGTGGCACCTGACTGCCTCTCCCTCCCTCCTTTGCTCTCTTGTCCATCTCTCAGCCTCTCAGCCTATCCTTCCTCTTTCCCTCTCATCCTCTTTCCCCCATCCCCTCCTCCTCCTCCCCTCCTTCATGTTCCCCTTTCTCCATGGCCTCACTTTCCTTGACTACCCTTCAGGATAAATGCGGGGTAGTACATATAGGGATGAGGGGGTCATGTGTGTTTGGGGGTCGGGCTCCGGGCCGGGCCGGCTCCGGGTCGGAGGGCCAGTCACTGGCACCGTTGACGGGACCGTTCGCCGGACCGTACTCCGACTTTTTACTCAAAGTTAAGTTAAACTCCGAAGTAAGTCGAACCAACCGGCGTTGAACCGCGTGTTCGGATGGTTTCCGAAGCGGCGGCTTGGCTCAGTCGGTACGGCCCGTCAGGCCGAACCGCGGCCCGGCCGCCGCCGGGGCCCATTCCATGGTACGGTATTTTCTAATCATGCGGCTGTGCCGCGGTGCGGCCCGGTGACTGACCGTCGCCGGGACCGACTCCGAGCCCGAGCCCCGGGCCGGGCCGGGCGGCCCGGCGCGCGGCCGCCGGGCGACCGGGGGCCTGGTGATCTAAACGGCAGGTGGTAATGTTAGAGGCAAGTGTCTATTTGTGGAATGGCGGCGGCATGAGACGGGGGGTTGCTGTGTGCGCGGCAGTCGCGCTGGCGATGGCGACGGCAGTTCTGATCGCTACGGGAGGCAAGAGCAACGACAATGGCGTGAGAGGTGGAGCTGTCGCGTTGGGAGGAAGGGAGGGAGAGGCGGCACGAGGAGAGGAGGACAGCCATGGTCGGGGCCTGGGGATGTACGAGCGAATCATGCAGGCGGTGATGAACTTCGATCAGAATGCGACAGACTGCGATGGTCTGGGGGCGATATGCGCCATAGGCCTCAAGAACAAGAAGAACCCCGATGACTTGACCTCCCAGATGGCTCAGGACTGGCTCGCCCAACAGCCATGGGACGACGTTCCCTATGAGTTCTGCTCCGCGTTCACGGATCTGAACGAAGAGGAGCTGGAGGCCTGCCTGACTCACTTCTTGAAGCCGCTCAAGATCCTCAATCGCGAGAGCAGCGCCAACAGCTCGGCACAGAACAGTACGGCCTTGATCACAGATGACCCTCGTTGGCTGTTGTGCTACCATGCCGCGACTTCAAGCGAGGTAGCTCAGCTCGCGTGATGTCCGGCTGACTCACCTTGACATGCAGGACAAGGAAAGATGCATCAAGTACATCCACGAGGTCACCCAAGGGGATTACGCGAGCGCCTGTCTCAATGTGAACTCGGAGGAGGAACAGAAGCGATGCTCGAGGGTGGAGGGGGCGATCCGGAACGCGGAGCTCTTGATTGAGCGGCAGAATGTCTCAGCCCCAGCAAACACAAGTGACTCACTGAATGCTTCCAGAGCAGAGATGGAGCGGGTGAGGACGAGCGACCGACTTGCTGCTCCTCTGACGTTCGACTGGCAGGAGCTGCAGGAGCAGAACAAGACAGAGAAGATGCTCGACGACATGCAGCCGAAGCTGCGAGACATGTTCTCCAGCGTCATGTCAGCCCGGAAGGAAGACGCAGGTTTGGAACTTGCCGGTCCTTGTATTGTCGTGGTGACGGCGAGTTGCCGGGTATGCAGATGTGGTCGGCGGCATGGAGGCTTTGCTCAACGAGACGCTCAACGAAGATGCGATGAATGCGTCGGAGCTGCTGAAGCCGGCGATGAGATACCGAGAGGTGGAGTTTGGGAAGGAAGAGCATGAGTACATCCAATCGCATCCGAGACAGAGAGCAACGCCAACCTCCTTGAAGGAGACTAGTCCATGGCGACTGGGGGCTGCCACCAGCAAGCGAGCAGCCAAGTTTGAGGAGGTCAGGGATCAACAGTCGCTGCTGCAGAAGAGCTTTCATTCTCTCTCGGCTGTGCGTCCCAAAGTCAGTCGAGGATGTTGGAGATCAACGGCTGATAGCTAACACCCAATGTAGCAGGCCAACTTCAACGGTCAAGGCACTAGGAGCTGGAGAAGAGCTGGGAAAGTCCTATCGACAGGCCAAAGATCGACATTGGGTGGCCGAGAGGTTGGAAGGAGAGAAAGGTTGGAGAATGCTCACTGGTTTTGAAGGCTTCGAGCGACAACCTTGGTTCCTTGGTCGCCATGGTCAAGTCAGAGAAGAGAAGGCAGCAGCAGATAGGCTTGCCAGCAAATGGGCGGGGACATGATGCAAAGAGGATGGACTTTGGTCAACTCAAAGCAGCAGTGAAGAAAGAAGAGGAGAGGGATAGACGAGAGGACGAAGGTTTCCCACCTGGCAAGATGTCATCACAGCACATGAAGCTCTTGGATAGTCAGGTCTGAGACATCTCGTTGCAGCATTGCATCATCGCCTCACATTCAACGTCCAGATTGAGGAGAAGAGGAGATCTCTACGCCAGCACCTCGCCAACGCGCAGCAGGTGCCTTGCCGTTCTAGTCAGATCACTCCCTGATCCGGCTACTCGTTCTAGGAGGATCGCATGCAAGCAGAGTCAGAGAAGAAGATGTTGAAGGTAAAGATTGTCCCATCCCGACCTGCTCGATGAATGCTGCTGTCTCCTTCAGCTCGAGGGAAGCGATAAGAACCTTGTGAACGTCGTTAGTGCATTGGCTGTGGCAGGACAAGCAGGGTGGGGAGGCTTAAGTTGCCGCCGGGCGAGATGCTGATAGACGATGTGCAGGAAGGAGTCGGCACACATGCTCTCGAGATATCTGCATCGATGACAAGAGATGAACACTGAGGCGTCAATTCATCTTCAGCAAAAAATGTGTTTTATTTCTTCCAGAGAGGAAAAACTTGTAATATGCCAAGGAAAGTACAAAATGAACAGAGTGTACAGGAGAGGATACAAGAGGAGGTGGAACGAGAGGAGGCTCTAACTCTCGTTCACCGAGAGCTTCAGCAGCGCTCGCAGCGCCTGCGGCTCGTGGGTCTTCATCCCCTCATAGAAGCTGAACTTCTTCAAGTTGCCCTCCAGCCGCGCGATCCTCCTCTCCTCTGCGTCCTCGTCTGTGACCGCACCAATCTTGCCCTCCTGCATGGAAGGAGTATCTGCCCGGGAGATCTGCTCCTCCATCGGAGAGTGCTCCTCCTGCGTCCTTGCTGAAGCAGCCAGCTCGTTCTTGTTGAGGACGGTAGGGGCAGAGTTCGAGGAAGTCTCCTCCGTGTTGCCCGCCAGGCTCAGGGAACCAGGGCCCATCTCCTTCGATTCCATGTGCTGGGAAGGCGAGCTCGACGTGGAGGACGACTCAGCGGAGGGGAGGAGGTCTACAATGGAGGGTACTGAGCGGGACTGGCGCCCGAGGCCCATGGGCATTGAGGAGCTGCGAGAAAGATCTGGGATCTCATACTTGAAGTTCTCCCCGATCTGCATGCAGGCAGCGCAGACCCTCACGTGCCGCGCGAGCCCTTGCCCGGTGGCTGGCAGCAACAGCTTCCGACCCATGGAGCAGTCAGCGCACACTATCCTCCCGCACATCCTACAGTGATGACGAGACGATTTGCCCTTCAACAGCGCCGTGAGCTTACTCTCGATCTCCTTCCCGCACTCGGCGATGCTGCATATCATCGCCTCGCTGTCCTCTTGCCATTGCCACTTGGCACATTCTCTTCGCGGCGAGGAGTAGTCCCTGGGGCTGGATGGGTTGCACGATGCGCTTTCGATCTGCAGCGACGTGATTCGTAGCGTCTGATCCGCCTTGCTTTTGTACATGTTCCTCCCTGACCCCTCTCAACCAGATATGTTGCAGATGAAAGCGATTTGCGACGCGAGGAAACAGGGCGAGACTCAGCTGTTGCGCAATGCAGCTGGGAAACTTGACGAAGATCTTGCGGGAGGGTAGAAGATGATGAAGGTTGGTGTGGTGAACTTAAAGTCTTGATATGAGGGTAAGAACGAAGGTAGGGGTGAGAGGAGAGAAGAGATGCGCGACGATAGTGAACGAGAGGAGGAGGAGGATGAGGATGAAATTTGGAAGTATTATAAAAACAATGGAGAAGGGGGGGATGACTGAGTTTACGGGGGTAGGTGGTGAGATATGAGGGTAGGATATTGAAGAGGGTAGTTAGTATTGAGCTATGTTGAGGGTAGGGTGAATAAAGTAAGGGTACTACTGACCATTGTAGGGTACTGGGTCCAATGTCTCTTTTCTCATGACAAATGTAGGGGTACTTCGAAGATTCAGGAAGAATGTAAGGGTAGTTTATCACTCCAAATGGTACAAATGTATGATCTTTGAGGGGTAAAGTCGATTGATAAGGATATGATGGTGGTACCTGAGAGTTATGGGGGGTGGGAGGTACGAAACTGAATTTATCTATCATAGGGTAGGTCCAAGTGTGGTGGGGAATTAAATGAGCCAGAGTTCAGAAATGGTAGGGTACTGGGAAGGGAGGGTGGGGGTCATGTAATAAAAATAAAAAGAAGATCCGCTGATACAAGGAAAGAAGCTCAAAGGGATAGATGGGGGTGGGGGTGCGGCCAACAGAAATAGTGGGAAAACAGTGGGTAGTCGAAGGTAATGTAGGGGGGTAGGGTAGCATGTAGAGTTGTACTTTGGTTGGGGTAGTGGCGGGCAGCCCGGTTGAGGCATGGGGCTGATCTCTCTATGTAAAGCGTAAAGGTTTGGGGTGGGTACTTTGCTGGGGTCCGAACTGTAGATTGATGGGTACATTTGTGGGAAATATGCAGGTGGGTACTATAAAGGTTGGGGGTACTGGGATCAAAAATTGTGGTCAGTGGAAATTGGGGGTAGGGTAGGAATGGTTTGTGATGATGTAACTGAAGTACCGGTACCCCCCATGATATGGAACTATGACACCACCCCTAAAGGTACATTATTAACCCTACCCATGATCTGCATATCTGATCACCCCACCTACAAATTTGTCAGGTAAATGACCGGTATAGATTGAAATTTTGTTGTACCCGTGTAGTGAAAGAAGAGTTTGGCAATAAGTACCCCTACCCCCTCAGACAAGTCTAGAGGCCTTACACAGACTACCCCCACCCGTACTATTCGGTTGGATCCTCGGAGCTGATTTACGTACCCGTGTGATTTAGAACCCCAAACTGTAACTATCCCCACCCACGAATTCCCTCGAAAACTGTACGTAGAGGACCCGTGCCAGTCCCACTACCCACCCCCCCTTTCTAGAGTCATCGCCCTTATATGCTCAGCTCTCAAAAACATTTTAGAAACCATTACGGGGGGTGAGGGGGTACTGAGAGGAGGCCATGTATCGAAAAATACCCGGTACTTTCATGGTTTAAGTGGGGTGGGAATACACATGGCTGGATCATTTCTGTATTTGAAGGGGTAGTATGTGCATTCCCCTCATCGTATGTTTGATGGCCGGCGGGATCTCGAGATCAGGTAACAGTTTTGGGAGGGGGTAGGGGTGTGCAAAGTACCCCACATTATATCGAGATGATGTGGGGTGATTCAAGTTGAAGTGGAAGTATCATTTGGTGGGTGGGGTACGGTATGTCAACCTCTGGCGGGAGGGAAGGGACGTCTCTCCATAAAATACAAGTATAAAACTATTTTAATATATATAAGTGTTTTAGATAAAAGAGTTTTTGTGGGATTGCTGAGTACCATGAATTTTGCACAGGAAAGCAGGGGTCAGAAAAAGAAGCATAGACGCCAAAAGAGCTGTTTTCGGTCACCATGCTCTTATATGTCAGTCCCCTCTAGCCCCGGTCAATCCAGGCATCAAGAAGGCTCAGGGTCCTCATGGCCCTCGCATGTCCCGGGTGAGTTAAACTTGACAAGCCTCTGGTACTGATTTTTAACTTAACTTTGAGTGAAAATGAAAGGACTGGGGTTCTTTCTCGGTCTTCATCTGTAAAACGATGGATTAAAAAGGATTTAGAGCCTCTGGGCTTTAGAGCGGCCCCGCGTGGCAACTGGCCGGGCCGCCCGGCCAGGCTGCCATAGCCCGGGCCTCAAGGGTCACCGGGCCGGCCCGGGGCCGGGCCTGCGGTCTATCGATTACTGGGCCGGGCCGGGCCGGCCCGGCCCCACGTCATACTATGATATCTCCTCCTACTCCCGGTCCACTTCACTGTCATCATCAGAAGCACTAGTAGTGTTGTCACCAGCTTTGGCGCGGCTGGAAGACTGTCTTGGCTGGATGGGCCTCTGAACGTGCACCACTTCTTCTACGCGCAGTAGCCGCACAAGAACATTTAGCAGCATACGGAGCAAGCTCTCCTGCGAACCGTCACCTCCCAATCGCAAACTGCCCACGGCTTACCTTGATCCCCAACGGCTCGACGATCCCGACGGCCACGGGGTCCGCGAGTGTCCAGCCCTTGCACGCCTGCGAGCCCTTGGCGAGGGGAGAGGAGGACACGGGCCTGAGGTTGACGTAGGAGGGGCCGGTGACTAGGATCCCTCGAGGAAGGTTGGGTGGTGAGGACGGCACCCAAGGCAGCAGTCGGAGGTCTCGGAAGCCGTTAGAACCACTTCTCGCGGCGTTGTTGAGGAGGGCCAACGGGACGGCTGCAGTCGCGCGCCGGAAGATGCAGGAGAGTATGACATCGACCTTGTCAGATGCCTGCTCACGCTCGAGCTCACCCCAGATAGCGAGCTCTGCTGCTCCTGCTCCCGGCACGAGGCCGGTCTTGCTGGAGGAGTCACCAGGGGCTGGAGGCTGAAGGGACTCGAACCAACGGAAGAGCTTGGAGTAGGCTTGCTGCATGCCCGCGATCACGAGCTTCGAGTCCTCTGGCACGACCTCACGCAGGACTATGGTGTGCGCTTCGAAGCTGTCCTGCACCGTGTCGATATCGACATGGATCATGGAGGAGACGCCGACGTATCCTAGAGTGCAGTGCTCGCATAAACCGATGCTGCGCTCTAGAGGAGCGTCTGGTTGCAGGGCGTCAGGGGGCTCGTGCAGGACGGGGAAGTCGCACCAGGAGGAAATGGAGAGGCGATTGGAGAGATGCTGCAGGCCTCACATAGAGCCATGGCTTGCTTCCGGTCAACAGATGCGATCGACTGATACGCATCCTATCAGCTGGTCTTCACATCCTCCTCCTCCCTTCCCGGCTCTCGCACCTGAATGTTCCATCGGACTAGGAGGGAGCGCACCAGCTCACCGACCTGACCACCGTCAGCATCGAACGCGCATGGTAAGAGGGAGCGACATCGGCAGTAGACACAAGTACTTGAACCCCATTCCGTGCGAGACTTCTGATCTGATCCTCCACGAGCAGCTCGATCATCCTCAACGACTCCTCCCTCCCTTCCCTCGCAATCTCCTGCTTGCAGCCCACAGGGTCCTGAGCCACAGAGAATGAGGCAAAACATCCAAGTTGAGAGCCGTCACGAATCACCCTCATCTCTTGCAACTCGAGCGAGCAGTCCAAGACCACGAATTTGGCATCTTCCAAGTAGGGAATCTCACAGTGAACGATCATCCCGTGCATGACGAAGCCGTGAACGATGTAAGACTCCTGTATCGCTGCTCCTGCCTCAGTGATGATGGGCAGACTACGAGGCAAGGCCTTGACCGTGGGCTCCTCGCTAGGCAGCGACGCTTGCAGCCATTCACAGATGATCTCAGCGCACTTGGATCTGCATCTGCCAGCAAAGAATCAGTGTCACGTACAGCAGGTAGCCAAGGAGCTCGCTGACGTCGCTGACCTTAGCCTGCTCATGCTGGTTTGCAGCAATGCATTTGCCAGCGTCTCCCAGCCCCAACCCTCATTCGCAACTTCGCTTTGACCCAGACGGGGGATCAAGACCTCTTCAAGAAATCGCTCTCCATGCTCTGATACTGCTCTTGTTATCTGCAAGAGCTCCCTCCTTCCCCTTGATCCCTTCAAGAGCTCCTGTACTCCCTGCACGCACCCCCCAAGCATAACCAGCAAAGTAGTCATGCCTCCTCCTCGTCTCTCCATCTCCCTGTAAGTCTGCAAGAGAGTTCGCCTACAGCACTCACTTTCCAGCCAGTCTGCTTCCTCCAGCATCTCCCGCCAGCTCGACAGACCCTGCTTGCCCACAAGCGACGAGCCTGAAGGGCCGAATACTCGAGCTGCAGCATCCCCGGCTTGCTCTGCCCCTCGCAGGCTCCTCCAGACTTCCGTCATTCTCTCTGATCCCGCATGCTCCCGCTCTCCTCCATGTCCCCCCGCTGCCTCCTCCTAGGCTCCCTCTGCTACATGCATGGAACCTTGGTCTGTGCTCAGGAACGCATCTAACCGTTACAAAAATAACGTACGTGGATGGGGATGTGGGGCTGTTGCTACTGGCCAGTGAGGTGTTTTCCCGCCATGCGTGGAGTCGCTATGGCGGGGCTGGAGGGCCTGGTGAAGAGGAGGGAGGAGGAGAGGAGGAGAGAGGAGGAGAGCAGGAAAGAAGAAGAGAGGAGGAGGGAAATGTTTCTTGAAGAAGCAAGGTCGATGAAGGCCCCCGAGAGAGCAGCTGATCTCGTACCTTTCGTGTCGTCGGCACATGCCGACATTCCGAGCCAGCATAAACTGGAAGATGATGGCAGAGACGGGGGAGGAAGCGAGCTCGATGAAGAGGAGGGAAGCCGCGGCTCCTGGGACACCAAGAACGAAAGATCGGTCTACATCGGGGAGGAGGAGGAGGATGGCAACGAGGTGGCTGTGGGAGTTTATGATGAGAATCTCGGCCACCAACCCTCGGAGGAGGAGGCGTCAGGGGATGTAGAGAGCAGCAACAAGCCCTCGTCATACAACCCCTTTGAGGCCTCGCAGGAGGAGCGTGACTCCAAACATCACGCGGCGCATGTCCCTCCCGACCATTCCGACATGGATAACTTCCGCTTGCGGCAGGAGACGTTGGACCTCCATGCAGCTCTGCAGGAGCAGCTAAAGAGGAACGTGAAGATAGAGGAGCGACATGTGTCTGAGCTGGAGGGCCTGCGCGAAACTTTTCTCAGCTCTCTGGAGGTGAAGGCTAGGGAGATGAAGGAGAAGTACATGGAGGCGATGGCGCAAGTGCACAAGGAGCACGAGCAGGAGAAGAGGAGGATCGTACAAGAGCTCCAGGAAAGGATAGCGCAGCTGGAAGAAGATGCGCTGAAGTCGAATCAACGACATGAAGAGCAGCTGTCGGACCTGCAGGCTGCGCTGGATGCTGAGCGAGCGGAGAAGGAACGTGAGAGATCGATGCTGGTCGGGCGATCGCCAGGAGAAGATCGAGGTAGTGATGGGAATGGGAGGCGCGAAGGCTACAAGCCGGTGAGACAGAGTATGCTTGCTTCCTCGGTCTGACGTGAAGGCTCAGGTGGGCGGAGGAGATGAGGCCTCAATGCGCTTAGTGGATGCTTCTGTTTCTGGATCGGGGACGGAGAGGAAGAGGAGTGTCTACAAGCGAGTGACACTAACGCGACGGACGTTGGACGTCAGTGGCTACCATGAGTCGACGACGACCATCTGTGGCGTGGGGCTCGGCTTCGACATGTGCAGGCAGGGAAACTTTGTGATCAGGAAAACGCTGCCGGGGTCCAGCGCTGACCTGCATGAGGACGTGGAAGTCGGCGATCGCATCGTGGCTGTGGATGGGATCCCGACCTTGGGAATGGAGATGGAGGAGGTTGTGGGTCTGATACAAGGAAGCGCTGGGACAAGTGTCTCCTTGCTGATCGAGTGCGACGACGCCAACGACAGCAGCTGCTCCTCCGGTCACGCCTCCACGAGCATGGACAGCGACAAGCCGAGCAACGTCAGACACACGACAAGTCAAGAGGAGGAGGATGGCTTGTTTGATCTCATCGGAGAGGAGTGGGCGGAGGTGCTGCAGCACCTTGAGGAGGAGGGAGGGAAGGAGAGGGCGAGGCAGCGCCTTCCGCTCCTGCTCCATGTGATGAAGAGGCAAAACTGCAGCAACGTGCAGCTGAGGAGAGAAGTGACGCAGCTGAAGGAGCAGCTGAGAACTTTCTTCATCTTTCAGATCAGACAGGAACAGATGATCGCCCGTGAAAGAGACGAGGCTGAGAACCTCAAGAAGCAGCTCACAGCCTTGACCAGACTCGTCGGAGGGCGTCCAGCCGAGAAAGACCATGTGGATCATTCATGACTTGTGGACATGGTGTCGATGTAGATAATCTCTTGCGCTACTCCACGTGTTTCTTCCCCTCGCTTCTTCCCTTGGCTTGTCTCCGTTACAGCAGATCCGCTCGTTTGCCGCACAGCCCTCGAGCCTGCTGGAACGTGAGGAGGTGAATCCCGCATGAGGCGAGCGCATCCTCGCGGTAGCGGCTGGCAGGATCATCAAGAGTGTCAACAAGCCTTCGCATGTCCTTGACCGGCATGGCGAGGAGGATGCCGGTCTCCTTGAGCCGCTTGAGGAGGTTGGCGGGTTTGCTGGTGAAGGGAGCGAACAGGCCGGTGATGAGGCCGAGGTCCAAGTTGATCTGAGCGGCAGTGAGGGGGCTTATGACCCCCAGGCTGCTAATCCGCTCGAAGAGAAGTCCGTCCACCCGCTCCGCCACGCTGCTCCAGACGCGCACGCGAGCCTGCGGGTGGAGGGAGACGAGGATCGTGTGCAAGTGAGCCCGAAGGATCTCGAGGGGCTCGCACATGTCCGAGCTCATCTCCGTCACCTCCAGCACCGTCGGGTCGAAGGTCCTGCTCGTGCTCCTGCCCTGCTGCAGGTACCCCAGCGACGCGTCCTCGAAGTCTCTCGCTATCACCGAGATGATCTGCTCCGCACAGTCCTGGGAGACGGCGAGAAACTCCCGACTTGTCTGGAGGAAAATCTCGTAGATCTCCTCGTTCGCCTGCGCTGCCTGCATGCCGCCCTCAAACGTGTTCAACACATCCTCGTCTACAAACTCCTCTAGCGCAAGGCTGCAGTATCGGGCCGAGCAACAGATCCCGCAGAAGCTACTCAGCTCACAATCCTCCATCTCCTCCTCTCGACTAGCGTGCTCTGTGCTCGCCACGTACACGACAGCATCGATGGCATTCTTGGCCAGTCGACCCGTCAGCTTCTGGTTGCTCTGCTGCATCTCCTTCCTCCAGCTGGACTTTTTCTCCCAGCGGCGAATCCAATCCGTCGCCTTGTCTCGCAGGCCCTCCAGGTACGGGACGAGGATGTGATCCTCTTGCACCTGCTTCGCAAACTTGACGCGCAGCTGGTCAGACAGCGTCGCACAGCGAGATACCACGTCCTCCACTGCCGCTATCACACCCTGTGCGCTCCTGGAGCCCCAGTCGTGCAGGTACCGCATGCGCAGGGCGTGCGAGTCGTCAGCGTCGTCCTGCAGCTGGGAGGAGACGTGGCAGATGCGCATCTCCTCGTCGCTGCTGAGCCACAGGCGGACTTGCTCAGCACGCGAGAGCGACTCGAGCTGCAGCCAGCGGGCCATGAGGTTGTCCAAACGTGCGATCCTCGCCATGCAGGAGACGTCGCTGCTCCGGAAGGAGCCGATCCCCGAGGAGCTCAGCAGGCTGGCGATGGTCTTGTCGAATTGGAGCGCCTCGCTGATCGTCAACATCAGCAGACTCCCTTCCTCCACCAGCAGGTTGCTGTCAGCTTTGACCTTGTCGCTGCATTGCTGCGCGAGCGCGGAAGCGAATTGAACAGCAGGGTTGTAGTCGAGGAAGCGATCATGCAAGGATGCTCGGACCAGAGGCTGGACCACCCGGATAAGGAAGGGAAGATGCTCCTTGAGGCGAGAGAGCTGGTACGAGAAGTACCAGTCGGGCTTGTCTAGGCGGTTCGTTGACCTGGTTGATCGGAAATGGTAGGTGAAACGGAGAGCGAGGGGAGCGAGCAAGGTCTGGAGAGCCCAGGACTCGAAGCGAGGAGGCTTCTTCTCCTGCTCCTCTGCCTGCAGACAGGCCACCTGCAGTCTTGTCATCTTGTGAATGGCGAGACTCATTCGCTGCATGCCCCCAGCCCCTCCTTTGCCTCCTTTGCCCTTTGACTGGACCTCCCCGAGCTCGACGACCTTCATCGCCTCTTCCTCCGCATCATCGGACAAGACAAGAGGCTTCGGCCATCCCACCTCCTTCATGACGGCGGAGAATTCTTCGGAGAGCTCCTTCTTCTCTCCTTCCACCAGACTCCCAAGTTTGGCCTGCACGGCCTGGCGGATGGAAGCGCTGAAGGTGCATTCCTGCAGCAGCTCTGACAAGGACGCGATGTTGGGCTTGCCATCTCCCGCTAGAACGACTTGCATCGATTTCTCCAGCATCTCCGCCATCTTCTTCACGTCTTGCGTCTGCTGCACCTTCAGCTGTAGCTCCTCGAGCTCGTGGAACGCTCCTCCGCTCCCCCCTTTCTCCTTCAGCTCCCCGAGCTTCTCGACTAGCCTCCTTCTGCCCTGCTCCAGCTCCTCGACATGCCGAGTGCTCTCCTGTACTCTTCGTTGCGCCTCCAGGAGGCCTTTCCCCACTTGGCCCTCGAGGCTCAGGAGCAGGGAGAGATTCTTCTTCCGCTCTCCCTGCCTCTCCGTCACTGCTCTCATCCAGCCCATCAGGTCTCCCTCTCCCTTCCTCTCCTTCCCTTCTCCCGCCCTCTCCTCTTCTCCCATCGTCTTCCTCATCTCCTCCACCGCCCATGCCCGCAGCCCCTCCATCGCCATTGCCACGGGTGAGACGGGCCCTCATCCCCGCTTGTAACCATCATCTCCCTCATACTCCAAGGTCAATGAGGTCGAGGAGGTCGAGGAGGAGATCACAACTAGATTTTGTCGACAAGAGGTCAGGTGAGGGTCAGGTGGGGCTCAGGTGGGGGTTCATGTGTGCAGGTGGGGGGTCAAGTGGGAGGTGAAGACTTTATTTGTCCGCTTTCCCTCACTTTCACCTCCGTCGCTTCACATCAAGTCTGCCAGCCTCGCCCTTCCATCCTCGTACATGCCAGCATGCCATGATCCTCCTCAGAAGTCTGGAGCAGCTCCCATCCGGCGGATCTGATCCCGAAGAGCCTCAACCTGCCGAGCAGCATGAGGCGCCAACAGACGAGCAGCAGCAGCAGGTCGAGGACGAGCAGGAAGGAGAAGCAGACCTGAGCTTCGGCCGTCAACGAAGTTCCTGACGCGTTGCAAGCTGCTCGAGCTGCCGTCGTCAAGGCACCGAGCTGTGGACGTGAAATCAGTCAGTCTGCCTCCTCTCTCTCCGAGCGACTCACCAGGAAGGCCGAGGGGCTCCTGTGATCTTTCCGCTTCGCCTTCGCCAGCCGCGTCTGCAAGTCCGTCAGCCACTACGTCTCAGCTGCAGCTGGCAGCACCTTGACGTGACGGAGGACGGAGCAGGCAACGGTGGGCTGAAGAGGAAGAGTGAGAGGGAGAGAGGGAGAGCGAGCTGCAGCCACCTGCATCCCCAAGAGGAGCGAGACGTGCGGCTTCTCGAAGTCAGAGTCCTCGAAGCAGGTCTGAGGGAGCGTGTGAGGGCGACGAGTCGGCATGCGGGAGGGGAGACGGACGCGACCTGACTTGTCAGCTCCTTGACACACTTCTTCACGGCTGGATTCAAGTCGCTGCTGTGAACGCCTTGGAAGTTGGTCATGTTGTTCTAGACGACCAACGTCAGGCGATCATCGCTGAAGACAAAGAGGAGAGGATGAAGGCCGCGAGAGCGCTGGGACGAGGAAGCCAGGAACATGTGAAGGAGAGTGAGAAAGGAGAAGGGGAGCAAGGGAGGGGAGGGGAGGCAGGAGAGGGGAGGCAGGGGGCAAGCAAGGAGGTAAGGAGATTTCTGGGCCTGACCGTCGAAGACTCGAAGGGCTTTTCCTTCTTGACCCGAGCGTCTCTCTGCAGGATCCGTCAGAGGGGAGGAAGGATACTCGGAGCGTCACCTCCTCCCTCGCCCGATCCTTAGAGGAGAGGAGGATGTTGTGAAGGAGAGCCGCGGGCTTCCTCACCTGCACCATCCAGTCAAGAGGAGGAAGGACAACAAGTGACGCGATGAAGACAGGAGGGAAGATGAAGAAGAGCTAGGAAGCGAGAGAAGATGGCAGAAAGAGGAGGACGAGGATGACGAAGATGGATCGATAGATGGGAGGAGGAGGAGGAGGAGGAGGAGGAGAGGGAGAAAGTTGTAGATGCCACGAGACCTCTGTGCGCTTCGACGCGAACTGCAACAGCATGGTCCTGGCGAGCTTCACGATGGGGAGCAGATCCTGTGAGGAATGAGGCCGGGCAGGAGGAAGGAGGACCTCGCAGACCTGCAGGGGGATGCCGGCGAGGACCTGAAAGTGCTGCTTGTCAACGTCGAAGACACTGACGCAGGTCCCATGGCAGAGCTCCTGGAAGAGGTGCGGGAGCATCGAGTTCTGATCCGTCTTGCGCTGAACTTTGTTGGCAGGGTTGACGAGGTTGAGGCTCCTCTTGACTGCCTCACGCGATCGCAACAAGACCTGAGAAGCAGTTAATGACCTGAGAAACTGCCTGACTGTCCCTGACTGCCTGACTCAATGACTCCCTCATTGCTTTACTCCCTCCATCCATTCTTTTATCCTCCTCCCCTCCACTCTTGCCAGGTCTTCCGCCACCGCCTGCCTCTTTCCTCTGCCTGCCTCCTTCATTCGCTCACCTGTTGGATCCACCCTGGCAGGTCGCCAGCAGCTTGCTGCGTGCGAGGAGTTTGAAGCAGGAGGGTTCTGGCGGTCTCTGTGCTCGCGAGGTCAGTGGGAGGAGGAGCATGAGTAGGAGCAGGAAGAGCAGAACCTGCTGCTGTTACTGCTACTGCTGCTGCTGCTGGAGAAGCAGGAGCAGGAGCAGGAGCTGCTGTTGTTACTGCTGCTGCTGCTGCTGCTGCTGCTGCTGCTGCTGCTGGAGAAGCAGGAGCAGGAGCAGGAGCAGGAGCAGGAGCAGGAGCAGGAGCAGGAGCAGTAACAACAGCAGCAGGAGGAGCAGGAGCAGGAGCAGGAGGAGCAGGAGAAGGAACTCAGGGGCTCACCAAGGAAGACGTTGGCGTCGGAGAACGTCAGGCCCCACAGAAGTTCCCGATGCTGGCCATTGAAGTCCGCCTCGGAGTAGGTCGTGCCCCTCAGCACCTCACTGAGCACCTCAGTGACTGGGATGCACTGTACGAAGACGTCCGAGCCCGGCCCCCCCCTCTGCTCCGAGTAGCCGGCTGGAAAGTAGCCCTCCTTCTCCTTCCCCAGCACCTTCCCAGCTCCTTCCTGCCCGTTCTCGTCCCGGGGCTGACTTCTCTGGAGTTGAGCCTTGTGGAGCAAAAAGTGAGAAGAGGGAGGGAGGGAGGGAGGGAGTGAGTGAGTGAGGGAGGGAGGGAGGGAAGGAGGGAGGGAGAGGAGAGGAGAGAGGAGAGGAGAGGAGAGGAGGAGGGGAGGGGAGGGGAGGGGAGGGGAGGGGAGGAGAGGAGCTCTGGCTCACCTTGAAGATCTCTTCGATGGAGGGAACAAGCATCTCCTGCTGCTGCCCGTTGACATCTTGACCGTCTGATACCAACAGTGACAAGTCTTCCTTGCGGGAGGACAGCTCACCGCCGTCGACCATGCTGGACAAGCCGTTCTGCTCCACACCGACTACATCCCTCCCTTGAGAACCAGCTGGGTTAGAGGAGACGTTCCCCTCCCCTTGGGCCTGCAGAGAAGAGGAGGAGGAGAAGGACGTCTCCTTCAGCAGGCCTGGAGCTGCAGCATCCCACGACGAGAAGCTCGTCATCCCTCCTTGGTAGCTCGACTCAGTCGGGGTTGAATTGGCCGACCCTTTGCCGCTCCGTCCGCGCATGAAGAGAAGCTCATGCTCTGTGTCGTCGAGGAGACCGGAAGGGATGGAGGAGATGAGCGAGGAGTACTCCTCCGCCTCATCCATCTCGTGCATCCCCGGCGCCTTCCACAGCAGCTGATGCCGGTCGGGCCCATGCAGCTCCCCTTGAGCTGCCGCCTGTTGAGGCAGAAGAACCGCAGGGACGTCGAAGGTATCGAAGGGCTGGAACCTCGCCGGCTGACTCTGCATCGGCTCCTTACTCGCGGTGTTGAGCGGCAAGGCGTTGGCGTCGGCGAAGGGCGAGTAGACGAGAGGGCTGGTGAAGAGCGAAGCTCCCGGCTTTGCCTGCTGGCCCATGATGTCGCCGAATGATCGCGACGGTTGCGGCTGCAAGTTTAGCCCATACTGATCCATCGATGCCTGCGGGTCGGGCGCGCTCTCCTGCTGCAGGCGGGTCAGAGGAGGAGGAGGAGGAGGAGGAGGAGGAGGAGGAGGAGGAGGAGGAAGCAGACAGAGAGACAGAAATAGAGGAAACAAGAGGCAAGGGAAGGACAGGGGTTGGGAGGGGGAACGGGGAGGGAAAGGTCTTACCCCTTCAGCGCTTGCATTCGCCATCTCCCACGAGCCGACAAACTTGCCGTGCACGAAGTATCCCTCCGTCTCAGGGCTGTCGAAGGCAAAGGCTTCCTCCTGCCCCAGGTCGTTGCCCTCCTCGCCCTCCTGCTTCTGATGCAACTCGTCCAGCGTCACTCCTCCAAGACTCGAAGGCTTCTCGTGCACGTCGTTTGGTTTCTTCATGCCCAGATCGCCATCGTTCAAGACGACCGGAGGGATTCTCCCCGGAAACACATCTCCGAGGCCCTTCAAGACCTTGTCATCCTCCATGCCCGCTCCCCTTGGGTCATCTGCACTCGCTATGATCTTCTCGGCATGGAAGACGACGGGCGACATGCGAGCTGTCGCGCTGCCCTCCCACTGGTTCGCTCGCAGCAACGAGGGATCGGCAGCCATCTGCTTCGACGGCATGGCGGTCATGACTGGCAGAGTGACAGCAGGATCAGGTTGAAACGGCGAAGTCATCCTAGGGATCCCCAAGTTGGCCTGGAGCTTCTCGCTCCAGGTGGGCTCAGAGGAGCCGAAGGAAGCAGAGGGAGGCTGAGGCGCCGAGCTAGAGGAGGAGAAGGAGAGACCTAGGCTAGGGAACCCCTGAGCCTCGGGGTCCAGCTGTTCCGTGGGGTTGGGACTTTGGCTATGATACATATTCAAACAAGCCGTCGGCTTCGTGTCTGACTCCAACGTGCCATCAGCAAAGGCAGAGAGGACGGAGGGCTCGCGCGCGTCCAGCACAGCATCTTGCGCATCCATCGCTTTCATCTCCGGGGGAAACAAGCTCCCTACCGCATCCTGCACGTTCCACGAGTTGGCAGGCGCTACTTCGGGAGAATTTCTCCTGTAAAACGATTCGTTCTTGGACCCATCCCTTGCCTGCCTCTCTCCTTCAGAGATAATCTGAAGCAATTCGTCTTCGTGTTTCACCCCCTTGACTATGAACTGATTGTTGTTCACCAGTGGTTGTTTGCCTGGAATGTACAGCGAAACTTCCTTCGACCAGTCTCTCCACTTCCCCATCACAAACGCACGGACCTGAAACCTGTGCAGCCCCTCCGGCAAGTCAGTGCAGACGCAGTCCAGACCCTCGTCGCTCCGTTGCTTCTTGCCCTCCACTCCATCTATCTTCAACTGGTAAGTCGTCGGCAAAGAACCAATGGGAGGCTTCCATGAGACGACGACAGTCTGCTGGTCCTCCAGCACCCTCGCTGAGACTGCATCAGGCACACATTGACCGTTGCTTGACCGCAAGAACCCCTTGATCACACTCCACCCGCTGCTCCCTGTGCTGGAGACAGCACGCACACGAAACTTGTACGTCTTTCCCGGCTCGACAGTGTGCGAGTGCTGGGTTGCGCTACCCACGTACACCTCATAGAAGTTCGTGCTGCCCTCTCCGCCTTCATCGATCTCAACGTGATAGGTGATGCTTGAACCGGCACCCTCCGGTCTATCCCAAGAGCAGATTGCGATCAGAGTATCGTTCTCTCCCTCGACTATGAGCGACTGCAAGTTGGTTGGCACAGGCAGGGTGGAGTCAGTCCGGAAGACGACCGCTGGCCCGAAATCTCCATACCCGCTCTTATTCTTCGCCTGCACCCTGATACGATAACCATAGCCCGGCCTCAACCCCGCGACGTCCAGTCGAGTCTCGTCTGACTTGGTCGCAAGGAACTCTGGTATCATCCCCTTGACCTCTGTGCTCTCCGGAATGATGTGAACTCGATAACTTTCAATCGCAAGGTATCCCACCGGCGCCTCCCACCGGATGCTCAACGACGTAGGACGAGATGTGATCAGCCGAGGCACTCCTGGAGCGCCAGGAACGGGCAAGGCTGTAGAGAAGTTGAACTGCTCGGAAAGGCTGCCCCAACCAGTTCGGTTCGCACAACGGATGCGAATCGAGTACTTGTAGTCCGGTACCAAATCGCCGATCTCCGCCTCGCTCTTTTCACCAGCAACGTCCAACTTCCGCAGATCTTTGTCGCACTTCACCTCTAACTGATACGAAACGATCGCCGCACCCCCGTCGTCGCTGGGGGGTTCCCACCCGATAGTCACAGTGGACGAGCCTCTGTTCAGCATCGAGATGTTCGTCGGGGGTGCTGGCACGCTCGGCAGCGTTTCAAGGACAGAAACAGCTCCGGGCTCACTCTCACCGATGAGGTTGCACGCTATCACACGAACATGATACTTCTTCCCTGCCGTCAAACCCTCACGCAGCTCGCATGTGCACTCCTTCCCTTCCCAGGCAACCGTGAACTTCATCTTCTTGCTGTTCGCCGCACCGACCGCCTCCGCCAGCTGCACACGATAAGACGTGATCTCAGCTCCGTTACACTCCGGCTCCGTCCATCTGATCCGCAGACTTGTCTTGTTTGCCTTCACAAGGATAGGAGCGCTACACATCGCTGGAGGGCTAGAGATCCCTGAAGTGGTAAACAGAGGACTATACTGTCCTGCGCCCTCCCCGTTACATGCCTTCACCCTGAACTTGTACACCTTGCCAGCCTCCAGGCCCCTCACGGAATGGCGAGTAGCATTGCCGTTCATGATGACCATGAAAGGACTGCCAGAGGTAAAGTCCTGCTGCTCCAAGATGTAATTCGAGATGGGGTCACCATTTGAGTTGGGAACGTCCCATTCGAGAGTGATTCCTCCATGCTTCTCGTTAGCATCTTCGACTGTACGAATCTCAACTGGAGCAGAGGGCACAGATGCCGAAGTGTAGAAGAATGCAGGTGGGCAGAAATTCCCAGCCCCTTCGTCGTTCATTGCTCGCACTTGAAATCCATAGCAGGAGCCTGGAGACAACTTATTGCATTTCCACGACGTTTCTCCAGGGCCCAACACAGGAGTTGCCCTAACCCAAGACTCTTCAGGCACTAAATTCCCACCCTCGTCCATCATCGCTTTGCACCATTCCACCTCATACCCCGTAATATCCAAGCCCCCTGACTCAGGCTGAACCCATTTAATCTTCAAGGCTGTCCGGCTCTTAGTAGACAACGTGATCTTGTCAGGAGCAGACGGGACAGCAGCAAGAGTCTTGAAGATTCCCTTGGTATCGAACATCGTCATGGCACCATGGCAGGGTTTGAATATTGTCTTGGCGATTGCCAGGACCTTGTACTCCCTCCCTGGCATCAAATCGCCAATCTCACAATAGTATTTGCCATCCTCTTTGACGTCATTCCTCTCCAAGGTGCACACATTGCGATACCCTGTACCACACCCACCATCGTAAACGAATCGACATCGTATGGTTTGTTCTGGAAACGTAGGCTTCCAACGTACCACTAACCTATCCTGCAGAGCTTGAACCAACTCTACAACGTTGACTTTTTCATCTGACTCAGTGCATGGGGCTTTAGAATTGCCTTCACCACCTCTATCCCGCTCTATCCCTTCGAAGTTTAGCTCATCGCTGAGATCCATTTGCAGCGAACCTTGAACGTCTCGGCTTTCAGATGAATGAAATATTCCGCCGCAATGCTCGAAGAGCATATCCGACGTGAGGCACTGCAATGACGACGATCGTGCAAATCGGCCGTCTATTGAATTGACGGCGATCGTATCAAGTGCAAATTGTTGCTCTGACGTGTTTCCCTGTTGCTCAGAACCTTCCCTCCCAGACTTGTCTTGGGTCTGCACTGGCATTTTCCGTAGCCTGACTGAAGCATTCACAGCTGATTCAAAATCCATGTGTCGCAGAGCATCGACAATCTCCAACATTTGTTTTTCCGACACATTCCTTTCGTGACACCCGAATTGTTTCAGGGCCGACATCGTATCTATACCAAGAGCTGCAAGAGCCGCAAGGCATCCGTCTCGGACGTAGTGATTCGACGAGAGAGCATTCGAAACCAAGCTCTGAACCATCTTGACCGCCTCGACGTGGTCGAGAAGAGTCACCTGTCCAAACGAGGTGGCAGATAGCGAGGCGATGCAGCAAGCAGCATCACAAACGTGGAAAAAATCAGAAGATCTCAAGAGTCTTGACAGAGCTATGATGACGCCGTCCACAAAATCAATTTGGACAAGTAGGGCTCGCAAGAAGGTCTTATCTCTGGTAAAACTTCGTATCGCCCACGCAGCATCAGACACATAATCCTCACAGGCCAGCTTCAAGACTCTGAAGATGCCTGTCAACAATAGTTGATGAGTATATTTGCACCACAATCAGAGGTTTGAACCTTTCACGAAGGTCTCGACATCAAAGTACGCCATGATTAACTCCCTCCCAGTTTCGAAATGTGCAATGTTTCCAAGTGAATACACAACATCCGCCACCGCTTGTTCTAGTCGGAACTGCAAGAACACCCTCATTATGGGGAAAGCTGAATACCAGAGATCTGCTACGTAGTGCTCGGTCTAAAAACATCCTCATCAGTCGGGGAATTCAGTGGAAGTTTTCGATACCGCATCAGGATCTTGTCGCGAGGAATAAGCAAATAGCAATGACTCATTTGTCTCATCAAACATCCATTCCATTTGCGTGGTGTTTGAAAATTTTTCGAGGATGAGGTTGACAGGAAAATTCTGCAAAATAAAATTCAACCTCATCTCTTCGCGACTGCGATCGTTGTCACCATCAAAATATTCCGCCTTGCTTTCGTATTTTCACTCAGGCGCTGCACGAAGAAGACAGCTGTAATACCAATAAGTCTCCTTATACACAACGGATGCAAGACGTCTGTCACATACCAAAGACTGCAAACTGTCGATTTTTGTGAGAGGCACATTTCGACAAGCACGAGAACAGTCGATCGCACAAATCCTCAACACTGAATTACACAAGGACAGTTAATTGCCAGAAGTTGAAGGACCAGCCAGTCACCTCTTTTCATCTTGGAGAAAGAGGTTGTCAACAAGTTCCTTGTTCTTGCAGATCGCCCAGATCGCACCCAGCATAATCGCTTCTCTCTGCATCAACGTCAACCATCATGGAAAATGTGGAAGAGGTTCAAGACAACCCGTGCGTCATCTGGCTCCCCCGTCACGACGGATAACAGGTGACTCACAATCTTGTGGACGGTCTTGATCGACAATGCTTCCTTAAGCGCCTGCCAGCACATGCAGCCGTCATCCCAAGGCTCGTGTCCCCGTGAGGCATCTAGTCTTGCCTGTATCAGACTGCTTGTTGTCGACCCATTCACAGCCAACTCGTGTGCGAGCTGCTCTGCACCTAGCGTCGACTATCTTCAGCGACTTTAGGCTCGGCATGCAGGCAATACCTTTTCTCAGCTCGTTCTCGCTGTTCGACGACAGCATGCGCAGAAGAGAGGGCTCCATGCTGAAAGTTTCAGACAAGAGGAGCTCTGCTCTGCTCTCTTGAAAAGGGGAGATGCCAGGATGAGAAAGTAACTCAAACTAGTTGGACCCCCGTGAAAGGCGGGAAAGTGATCGAGGAAATATTACAGGCAGCCTGCTGCTGCGACCCCCGTCACGAGGAAGCAAATGAATCTGTCAGGGGGCGAGGGAGTCAGCAGAGCTCCAAGGTCTTGAGATGAACAAGGAAGCTGAGTTGACAGAGCATCATTTGGCTAGCGGGAAGGCGAGCTTCTGTCGCCTCCTCCCGCCATCGCTGCAGTCGCCGCCTGTCCCCGGCATGCCCATGGTTGGCAAGGGAAGCCTCACGCTGGACTGGGGTGGTCACTCAGTATACTACCGGTACCGTTTCAAAGAAAGCAAATGACCCACCACATTCCCATAAATATGTGGCTCTAAGAGGGGGTAGTTGCAGCATCGAATTTGGGACACCGGGGTACAAAGATTTACAAAGGGGTCAAGGGGTGGATGGTTACAATTCTGAGTATGATTGAATAGTTTTTAGTATATTTCAAATTTGAAGACTCCGAAACGAAACCTCTATCCTGAAATCAATAAAAAGAGTTTTAGTAAATTATGGCCCGGCTACGGAGTACCGTGACCCCCGGCCGCGGGCCGGCCCGGACTCCGCCGGGCCGCCGCGCCTCCGACCACCGTTACCGTCACGGTGAGGACTCAGCCTGTTTAAGTTTGGCTCGGAGTACAAGGCTGGCATCATAAGTTCAACATCTCACGGTCGAGTCAATCATTCGGAGTTACAGTGAACCGTTGAACGGCGACTGTCACGGTTCCGAAGTTCGGTGCCGGGCGGCAAGCGGCCCGCCGCCGCGGCCGGGCCTTCACGTTCCTGAACTTGGGAAGTTCGTCTCAGGCCTATTGCGAGTCAGTTTTGAGGCGATTTAGAATTTACTAGAAACAATAAGAAAGGCGTGCAGGCCTCAACTTGGCATCGCAAAACGTCGCAGTGAACAATATTGACCTCACCACAACTGGCAACGAGATTCGTCCTTGGGGGCCATGGGAGAGCCTGTTGGGCACTGAAAGACTTCAGCAAAAGGAGAGAACTGCGTGAGGGCTCCGATAACTCTGAACTTGCCAGGAGCATGCGCATCAGTGAGAACAGAGTTGATAGCGCTCTGCTTCCTGTCGACTTCACACCAGGTCTGGGCAAACGAAGTGAAGAACAGTCTCTTCTCAGCATGCGATCTTGGCTTCGAGGACAAGAAGGCACGGTAGGAAAACTTGATCCCTCCTGCATCGGCGATGTCCTCCCCAAGAGTGAGCTTGCCGTTGACATTCTTATCCATCACTTTGAACTTGCTGAAGAGGTTGGAAATACATCCGCTCCTCTCCTTAAACCCTTGCACAGTCGCCTTCTCCCACCAGGGCTTCATCTCGCCCTTGGCATCGTACTGCCTGCCATCGTCGTCGAATCCGTGACTCATCTCGTGCCCCAATATTGTACCCACCGACCCGTAATTCTCGGCATCGGAATTCTTGTAGTCAAAGAAGGGAGCTTGTAAGATACCCGCAGGGATCCACAGCCCGTTGTTCTTGGGGCCGTAAAAGGCGTTGACCTCCAACGGAGTGTTTCCACCCCACGAGAACCTCTCTGGCTTCTTGGAGAGCTTTGACATGGACCTCTCCATTCCCATCCTTGTGACAATCTCACCGTTAACAAAGTAGTCGTCTCCGATGTGGCCGTCGAGCTGGTAAGTCTGCTCAGGCCAGTCCACGTTTCCTTCCTTGTCAGTGGGGATGGCAACTTGGAAGATCATCTCAGTCAGCTTATGCTGAGCGTCCTCGCGGTTCTTGGGAGTCATCCAGTCCGCATGAGGAATGGCCTTCATGAACTCGGCGCGGATGTTGTCGAGCATCGCAAGGGCAGCCTGTCGGTTCTCATGCTGGAAGAATTTGTCGGAATAAAGCTTAGCAGAAGCCCAGGAGGCAGCTCCAGTAGTAGCAAAGAAGCATTTCCTGGGTCTTGCTGACCTCTCTTGCACGCCATACAAATCTTTGTACCAATCAAGCAAAGCATCTTGGAAGTCAGTGCTGAGCGATGAAGCTGAACCACTGATAACTTGCCAGCGCATGTTTGCCTTGATGGTTTCATAGTCGGTGGTCTTGAGAATGGTTTCCAACCTTGGGAAAAAGTCCTTTTCCCGAATGTAGAGAGGCTTTCCATTTTCTGTCCCCACTTTCATGATGTCGGTATGGTCAGATTTGCAGAAAGCAGGCATCCCATTGAAGGGCTTCGTGCACTGAGCAAGTTTGTTCAACCACGCCTTCCATTTCCATGAAGGAGTCATCTGCTCCATCTCACTCCAAGTAGTCTTCTTCGCATGAGACTTGTATGAATCTGTCCGATCAACCTACGATGTGTAAGATTGATCATTTGATAAAATCATAGAAACATTTCTTACCATCGCCTTTGCCATTGCTGTTTCAAATGAAACAACTTTCTTGGCTTCGTCTTTGTGCTGCAGAAGAAAAGATAAGAAACAAGATTCGATGAAGGAAAAGAGGTTTCACATTTTCACGTCCAATCAACTTGAAGAAGTATCCGACTCTCTCCTCAAACTTTGCACGATGTTCTTGCATTTCAGCTGTGTCCTCCGTGTAGTATGAAGTATCTGGAAGACTTGAAGATGTATTAGCAACGATTTGCGAATCATCATTAGCATACCTGACACCACCCTGGCTCAGAAAGAAAGCATTTTGAGAGTTGTCATGTGAGTCCGTGTCGATGTACCACGAGAACAAGATGTCCATGTTGCCCTGAGCAAAACAAAATAAGTTCCGAAGGATGAGCCCGAAGGAATACTTCACCTTGTTCAACTCCACGATCACATCCAGCAACGAGTCTTCGTCCTTGACTTTCTCAATCAGATTCAACCTGTTGAAAAGCATCAGAGGCTGCAGCGATCAGGATGCTTCCCACGAACCATGGAGTGAGAGGCTTGCTGCCTTCCTCGTTGATTCTCTTGGTGTCTACGCACGATCGGTAGTACTTGCCAGACACGCCCTGATCTGTTTCAAGGAGTTTGATCATTTCTTCTTGGATTTTCAGCTGAGCACGGTCCCATGAAAGCGCCTTGGACGTCTGATCCGATCAAACATTAGAACGACACCGCACAACAACCAAATGGCTCACCTCATATTTTGGTATCTTGTCACGATTGGCCTTGTCCCAGCCTCCACATGCATACTCGTAGAAGTCTTCGCAGGGGTTCACTTCAAGGTTCAGACTGTGACAAGCAAGCAGTCACTTTTAGAACGTTCGAGCTCGACACTCATACCTAGTCTTGACAGCCTCAGGGTAAGATGCGGAGAGCATTGACACAGCTACTCCACTCGCCTCCTTCGCAAGCTGCCAGCAAAGTCACAGCATGGCACAGAGTTCTCGCTGCTTACCGCATCCATTCCAGGCTTATTGCTCATCACAAACCACATGTCTTGCAGCTTTTGGACGAAAGCGACTCCATCCTTGCCCCGAGCTTCCGACGAGAGGTACCTATAGCAGTGTCAAGGGACCCTAGATAGAGTTCAGATATCGAATTACTTGACATCCATTTCGTCCCCCATGTACAAGGAATCCGGAGCCTGAAATCAATCTCACTATAAGCAAAGCAAAAGCTTGGTCAGCTTACCGTCGAGGTGGTCAAAGCCATCAAGGCAATGAGGGACAAGGCTGCCACACAAGACACCAGAGCAATTATCCTGCACACGGGTAAACGTCTTGTTGACCCCCTAGATGCCGCTTCACCTGCTATTCGATCCAAATCGCCTGAACGAAGGCAACGACCCAGAAGCAGCGGACGTGCCATAAACTGACAGAGAGGTCAGATACAAAGCTATGCTATAGAAGCCTCTTGTTGTAGATGCAAGACGGTTGGAACCAAATAGTGAGAAACACCAAAAGAATTGATCCATCACCATCACCATCGTCATCAACATGACCATCACCATCACCATCACCATCACCATCACCATCACCATCACCATCACTGTCGTCATCCCCTCACCCGCATGGCTTCGTTTTGCCTCCTCCATGGTCTGCCTCTTCGCACCCTACAACAATCATCCCCCTCATACAATACCGCCCCTATCCACCACCCGATCCACTACCCCGACCACTACCCCATAGTTTCAGAATGAACCCTACCATTTCAATACCATTTTCTGCAGAAAGTACCCCCTTATCATATAACCCTACCCTACTAGGGAAAAGTAGTACCGGTCTGTCACAAGTCACCGTCAGTGCGGCAGTTCAGCTCCGAAACGGCGGCGGCCCGGCCGTGCGGTCGGCTCGGGCCGCGGAGCTCGGAAAAGGCTCCGGGACCCGGGCTAGCGGCGGGCTGCAGCCCGCGTGTGACTCGCGGGAGCGTGGGAGCGCCCGGGCCGCCGGTGGGACCCGGGAGCGTCTCAGGGACGGCTATCCGGGCCGGACGGTCACTCACGCCGCGCGTTGGGCCCGGCAGCCTCAGCCCGGTGCTCGGGTGACTGTACGGTCCGACCGGGACCCGGGGGTTACGCAACGGTCGGTACTGAATTTAACTTAATTGCCTTTGAGTAAAACTTGACGCCACCGGCAGCCTTGAGAGAGATGCTACTTTTTGATGTCAGTTGACAAGCTCATGACTACCCGTAGTAATCATATGATAAAAAGGGGTACCAGTTCAGAAGGAGGGGTGGTGTGGCTCTTCCCGGCAGACTGGCGGCAATGGAGGGACGAGGAGGAACAAGGTTCAAGGGGAAGGGGGGAGGATGACTAGAAGCGGCAGGAGAAACTTCGAGTGAGTGTGGTACTTGCATGAGAGGAGTGGAGTGTGCAGACTTAAGAGCATCTTTACCAACATGTGATCGGACTTCGGGAAGCCTGCCAAGTATTTAGTGTTAGAAGTCCACGATCAAATGAAACTCCATTGCATCAAGAGTACGCATCTGACTCTTCTTTCCTTCAGGTTGGTAAGCCAGCACTTCGAGGGATGAAGTTGCCTCATAGCACTTGATCGATCGTTTGATTTCACTTCTCCTTCATCTTCATCGAGCACGAGGAACAGTCAAGATGTCATATCCACAACTTGGGCCTCAGACAGCCCGAGTGACGACGATGTTTATGATGATGATGATGATGATGATGATGAGTCTACCTGAAATAGCTGCTGTCAACGAAACCTGCAGCGATATGCCGCCAGCAGCTGTCACCTGTCCCGTCCTTCGGATGACCCCGTCTGCACTGTGGAATCAATATCAATACTTCAATTGGCAAGTAGGGAACAACTGGCCTGCCAACACTGCCTATCAAGACAACTATGATGTCCCTCCCTCCGATCGCCCTTGCATCAGCTACCCTGCGACATGCAACGGGCCCAGTGACTACACGTGCACGAGGGGGATCAGGAGGCTGACTGACATGAACGTGAAGCGGAGAATGTACGAGGTGAAGCCAGGAAGTCCTGCAGTGTGCGGTCATGGGAACCGAGAGTTCTCATTCTTTGTTCGACCTGGGGACTCAGTACAAGACCTGATCATCCTGTTTGCAGCAGGCGGAATCTGTTGGGACGCAGCGAGTTGCAGCGGGGTGACGGGGTTGATGTCCATCGACTCGATGAACAGCCAGTACTACAAGGAGAAATTCGCATCGGTCCCTGTCGACATGAAACGAACTCTGAGAGACAATGACCCCGGGCTGAAGACAGGAATCGTAGATGCCTGGTCTATCGGCCTTGACTTCCTGCCATGGTCCCTGGTGGTCATCCCAGATTGCACTGGTGACATGCACATCGGTAACCGAACAAGAGCCGTCAACCACGGAACGAGCTCCTGCTACACGGTCCACCACAAGGGTGCGGTGAACACCGGCCTTGCCCTCCAGTGGGTCCTCGACAACTTCAAGAACTTGAAGCGGCTCCTGCTGGTTGGCTCATACCAGGAGGCAAACTCCAAGGCATATGGCGCGCATGGTGTGATCTTCTGGGCCAAGTACCTTCAGGAGCAGATGCCGTCGACGGTCGTCCGGACTGTCGTTGACTCATCCATGGGAATCGCCGGGCCCTGGTTCAAGGCTTACATGGCGGACGATATATGGGGAACGGCGAACGCACTTGTTCCCACTGCTACTGGTGCTGGCGCCAAGGACAAGCTGCTGCCTCCGCCGTATGAGTGGGCGATCTGGAGTGATGACATCACGTCCTACTACCGCTGGGCCACGAGCCGCAGGCCGTCGCTCGCCTTTGCTGAGGTCTCTTCGATAGAAGACGACGTGCAGAAGAATTTCTTCATCATGACTGGTGGAATGTCACAAGATTGCTGCAACAATGGGTACACGTCGCTGAGCTGAATACTTGTTTGTTTTGATTTTACACCCGCAGTTGTGGGTGCTCTAATCAAATCGTAAGGGATTCTAGGAACGGACAGCTGGATTGGACTAAGACGAGAAAGGTGGGAATTGAAACAGCTCGCGCGATCTTTGTGTGAAACGAGCTCAGGTGCAAATCTTGAGGAGGAACAAGTACATTCCAAACAACTATCGGTCCTGGATGATCAGCACTTCTACTACTCATGGACTTCTCGTTTCGCCGGAGTACATGTCAGTCTTTCCTGGACTCACGGTTGGGTCTGACTTGAACCGCAGGAGCATCTGCCCCAAGTTGGGTCTAGAGGACTTCATGTGTCCACAGCAGTACATCCTGCAAACGTTGTTCTCCTGTCTGTCAATGTGCAACCTTGTACTGAACTTGTTTTTCTAAGGTGGACATATTCCTTCATCAATGCAAAGATCTCCTACAACCCTGAGGGGATCCCGATATCTTCGACTTTTCTGGGAACCACCTACAGCGAGAGAAATTTCGGCTACAGCACCTGCCTGGTGAGCCACATCGCCTTTAGCGTTCATGCTTCCTTGCTTGACCCCTGCCAGGGCTGTTTGGATGGCGTCTTGGGATCGGGGGAATACGACGAGCTGTGCAACGTAACGATCTACGACGATGACACGTTCAGGACAGGTACCTAGCTTCGACTACCTTTCCTCCTCTGACTTGTATCCTAGTTGCTGCCAGGTACAACTCGAACTGGGTCTCGCTATGGGCGCTCAACGGAGGGTATTCAGACTGCCGTGGGGTGCGACTAGCTGAGACTTCTATCAGGGAAGCGCCGGACCAGCAGCTGTCGGGTCGACCCTTGAGGTTTGCGCATGAGTACAGAATGGAGCCAGGTTGGTCCCTTCCCCCCAGCTCGTCTCGACCTTCTTTCACTCGCAACGCAACCGTTGCGATGGCGATTGACGGGTGGGGCAGGAGAAAATCTCGAGGACGTGGCGAAGCGTTTCGGGGTGACAGTGCAGGAGCTGGTCTACCACAACTACAACCTGATGACTCACATCGACAACCCGCTCACCCTGGTATCCCTCGTCCCTCGCTCGCACCGGCGGCAGCTGACGAGTCTGTTGCAGCCGTCAGGAGATGTTGTATGTATAGTGTCAAGGGTGGCAGACGCTGTGGTAAGTTCTCTCTCCGCGCACTGACCCCGCGGGCTCAACGTTGTTGACGCAGGACGCGGGAGGAAGTCCGATCTGCATGCCGAGATGAAGCTCAGACGGACTTGTTGTTTGAGCTGGGTGATGAGAAGAAGAGCTTGCAAATGCTTTTGCCAGCCATCTTATGACATGTAAAACTTATTGAAGATCTTGTCCTATGACTAGTCAGCCGTCTCCTATCCGCTAGTCCTTCAGGACGTGAGCTCCGTAGCCACTCTCGGACCCGAAGAAATTCAACTCCACCTGCCGAATGCTTCAAAGGAGCAAGTGGGAGAGGGGAGGGCCTAGGAGAGAAGGGGGGGGGGCAGAGGCAAGGAGTTGGGAGGATACCCTTCTGATCGCATTCGGGCCGAGGAAATCGACTGTCTGCTCTCGTCTCCTGCAAGCCAGCAAGTCACCAGTGACGTCATCAACGTTTCTCTCCCCGTCGACTCACAGCAGGTCCGGGTGCATGGCGACTCTTCGCGGCATGTCTGAGGTTGTCACCACAGGGTAACGAGAGCTAGAGGAAGATTTCCCTGCCGCTGCCTCAGCCGTTGACCCACCACTTCCTTCCTCCTCTCCCTCGTTCTCCTCTGTTCCCTCTTCCTCCTTCCCCCTCCCCCCTCCACTCCTCCTCCTCCTCCCCCTCCCCCTCCCCCTCCTCTTCCTTCCTTCTCTCCCTCGTTCTCCTCTGCTCCCCTCTCCCTCCTTCCCCCTCCACTCCCCCTCCCCCTCCTCTTCCTTCCTCCTCTCCCTCGTTCTCCTCTGCTCCCCTCTCCCCCCTTCCCCCTCCCCCCTCCACTCCTCCTCTTCCTTCCTCCTCTCCCTCGTTCTCCTCTGCTCCATCTCCCTGCTTCCCCCTCCTCCTCATCTTTCCTCCTGCTCTCCTCTCCCTCGTTCTCCTCTGCTCCCTCCTCCTCTCCCTCACTCTTCAAAAGGACGTCTTGAAAATCTTCTTTCCCGGGCCGGGGGTAGAGCGACGGCTGATGGGGTGACGTCACCATGACGAGACTGCGGGGCAAGGAGTGGTGAACTCACCATCGTGTTGTTGAGGATCTTCTGGATCTTGTTGAAGTAACGATGGTCCTAAGCCAGCCATCAGCCTCCCCACCTCATCCGCTCCCTCTCCCGCTCCCTCCCCCTCCCCCTCCCCCTCTCCTTCTCCAACCTTGTCTTTCCCTGTGTTATACAGCTGGGCGATGTTGAGGGGGCTCATCCCATGGAAGTTTTGCGCCCCCGGGCTGACTCCGCACCTTCACCTCAGCGTAAGTAGCGATACTAGCATCTGTCGTCCTTCACTTCAAGATGAACTTCGCGGCCTCTCTCCTCCCGAACAGCACAGCGTAGTGGAGGGCCGTCCAGCCCTTCTTGTCCCTCCGTCTTGCGAAATGCCGCAGCTGGTAGAGCAGCGAGACGTTTCCCTCCTTGGCTGCGATCATGAAGTGGTGAAGGCGAAATCTTGGGCTCCCCTCGAATGTCCTCTGCAGCCTCATGAGGCGAGCAGGATAGACAGCGCTGGGAGGGGGGATGAAGTCTGAGATGTTGGAGAGGTTGGCGAGGTTCTCCAATTGTTCTGAGAAGATCGAATAGTTCTGGTCGTCCTCCCTTTGCTCTGGATCCTCCACCAGACGATGTTGAGAATCATTGGAGTACTTTTCAACACCTGTTCATTGCGTGAACAAGCACTTTCTCAGCCCCGAGGAAATTCCCTCCTCTCCACTTCTCACTCACATGCAGACAAGAAAGCGTTGGCTTGCTCACGCAGGACCTGTCGCTTTTCCTTCGGCTTCAGTTTGTCCCAGCCCTCAGGCAGCGGCTGTAAATCAAACAAGGACCTCAAGTCTGATTCAGCCTTCTTACATTCCTCAGTCTTCAATGATTCAGCCTTCTTGGATTCTTTAGTCTTCTTGGATTTGCGGGCTCGGACGAAGTGGAGCTCATCTCCAACCTCGCTCTGCAGAGGGTTCACAAACAGCGCCTGAGATAAGCAGAACTCGAAATACCTGAAAGACCCAACGCCGCCCCTTGTGATCTGTGAAGGTTTGATTCTGTATCGCTACCTCCTGCTCCGTGGAAGTTCGGTTCTCTATCGCCTCCTGTTCCAACTCCTCCTCTTCGCTCAAATTCTGTTCTCGTGCCTTGCGTTGGTTGATTGCGCCAGGCAAGGGATAGAGCCTGAGCTTGACTTTCTTGCCATCTGGGGAGCACATTTGAGGTCAGAACAAGCACAGGAGCCAACACAATCAGCAGCAGGTGCACCTTGCAAGCCAAAGCTCTGCTTCTTGACTGGTAGCTTGACGTGGAATCCACTTTAAAACAAACAACAAGGTTCAGGTTTATGCACCGACAAACATCTCAGAGGTTCACGTTCGCTTGCCCGCGTGAGTCTTCCTGTCCCACATGCTGTTTGACCCAGTCTCACAAGGTCGATCGTACAACAAACAAGCAAGGCTGGTTCCACCTCTGAATCTTCTGCCTCCTCAAACGAGTCTCCTCTCTCATGGCATCGAGGTCAGCCCTGGCGGAGGTCATACAACATGATCAGCTCAAGAGAAGCTCTCCAGAAGTCTCTCACTCACCATGCGTCTTGAATCTTTCCTTGTTCGGCAGCGCTCTTCTCTATCTCATCCCGTGAAGCCTTGTCTGTGGTAACTTCTCTTTCCCCCTCGTCTCCCTCATGAACCTGTTCATGAACCTGTTCATGAGCCTGTTCATGAACCTGTTCTATCTTGCTCTCAAAGAGTTCCAAGTCTGGTGCAGTGGTGTGATCGACAACTTGAGTAGTAGCTGGCTCGTATTCTGCAGCAGCTTTTCGACGCTTCTTTTTGTTCGCTTCATCAGCCTTTACATCAAAATCCTCCTGATCAGTCTGAGCAACTCCATCAGGCAGAGCTCTCTTAGCTGTAGAGACCTTCTGCTGCTCATCATCATCGTGCTTACTTGCATCCGCAGTTCTCTCCTCTCGCATCCTTCCCTCATCGCCTCCTGGCTTTGTACGCTGTTTCTTGGTCAACCTTGCTTTGGGCGCCTCAACATTTCTGTCCTCAGTGGCTTCAACCTTGACTGCTTCCCCGTCGGCCTGCTCTTCTCGCCCTTTCGACTGGTCGGCTGCCGAGCTCGCTCGGTTCGCAGATATTCTTGCAAACCTTGCGCTGCAGCCCTTGGAGGACCGGCGGTTTCCCATCTGATTGCTGATCTCCTTCCATTTCTTCCCCAGCTTCCCCTGCAGCTCCAGCAACTTCTGATCTTCCTCAGGCGTCCATGGCTCAGCTCGATCTGCTCCTCCTCTCAGGGCACACGAGGTGGAGGGAGGGAGGGAGGGAGCTGCGGCAATCCCCGACAGGAGTAGCAAAGCGAGGATTATGCTGGTCATCCAAGAGCTCTGGCACAGGAGGCTTCTATTTTCATCCTCTTCCTCCTTCTTTGGCGCTGCTGTCTTTCTGTTCTGCAACCATGCTCATCTCCTCTCCTCTCCTCCTCCTCCTCCCAGTCATGCCCGTCGCCATCGACCGGCCGCATCGACAATCCGCCATGGCACAGGGAATGAGGGGGATGAACTGGGTTGAAAGAACCGTGAGTATGAGGGAGATGAACTATAAGAATGAGGGGGATGATTGGATTGTTAACAGGTACCCCTACTATTTTGGTCTCTTCCTGGGGTGGGGGTTGTACAACACGATCGGAATGGCTGCGAAGGGTCGCGTGGTGGCATCGATGGTTGCGGCGATGGTGGTGGCCATGGCGTGTGTTCTCCTTCTCGTCCAGCATGGTAAGAGATCTTAGATTCCTTTGCTGGCCATTACCTCCATGTTTGCTCCTCCCCGCGACTGATGCCTTCATTCCTTGTTGATGTCCCGCTTGCAGATTCTGTCAGGGCGACTTCGCTCGATTCCGTGTACGTGGGAAACTGGAGAACGGATGAAAACTACCTTCCATGCGAAGAGGATCCATCCTGTGGATATGGTGCTAAGATTGCATGCCTGCCCTTGCTTCATGTAGCGCTGACACATGGGCAGGAAACATCAATCTCGACAGAGAGGCAGCGTACAGCAACCCATCTCCTCTTGCTATCATCAACGATGACTACAAGGAAGGCCAGCTCAATCCCTACCCTGGCCCGAGGAACTTTGGTCCCGATTCTCCCGTAGCCTGGTTGCCTGAAGAGGTAGGATCGGCATGGGTAGACGAGAGTTAAATACACTGACGGGGTTGTCGTTGTTTGCAGGAAATGGACGACTACCCGGGGATGGTTCGCAAGGTCTGGCCTGACTACACGGGCAGCGAGAACTCGATCTCAGCTACCAGTGCTGCCAAGAGCGTGGGAGTACAGCAGCTCTACATGTACTTGCGCATTCCTGCAGCAGTTTCAAACTAACTTTGATACAGGAGGAGGAGACCGACTCTCTTTGTTAAGTAGGAGACGAAAAGTTTTTAACCTTTCGGGACTTGGGGGTGTCAATTGTATCTTATAAACTTTGTTGTTTCTGCGACGGTCTTGTGCTTGTCTGTTCGACTTGCTTCATTGATGAGAACTTGTAAAATCTGGGAGATCGAATATCTACAGAGGACGGTCTCACGTAATGTACAGGAGCAGTGGGAGAAGATCCGATTAAGCAATGCCCTTCGCCATGTTCTTGAAGCCAACCCCCACACAAGAGAGCACAAGAGATTTGGTAGCGTCGTCTGCCTTGATCCTGATGTTGCTCGTTAGCTCTGCCATGTCGATCGTGGCCGAATCTCACCGGTAAACCACACCGAAGACATCGCGAATCATCCTCAGCAGTTTGATCTTCCGGGCCAGCGACGTCAGCCAGTACACCATCACCTCAGACTCTCACCGTGTTGGGCGAGAGCCGACCCAGTCGAACTCTCGAGACATCCTCTGGACAACACACCGCAAGCAACAGCACGATCCCCTATGGCAAAGAGCCCTCAGCTCATCTCTTTCTTACTGGGGACCTGCTGGCTCACCTGGTTGGAAGTGTCCACGAAGCCTCCTTGTGAAACTTCTTGTAGCAGCCGCTTAGCTGCTATGAGCCCGACGTCCTCGGGAATCTTCAACACCATCAGTTCCTGCTAATCTGCACTCGAAGGTTCTTCCTACCTGTCCTCCCTCTGCACACGCTTCTGCCCCGTACAGGCAGCCGTTCGTCGTCTCAGCGACGAGGCTTACACCATAGCTGAGAAATAGTTGAGCACATGGACTTGAGAAGCACGCGTCCGCAAGCTTACCCCGAGCTGTTCCCGGCGTTGTTGCCTTTGAAATGATCGGTGTAGACATACACGTCGGGCAAGACCTGTTATCTTTGCAAGTCAACCACTCTATCTTGCGCCCAATTTGCTCAAGTTGCCTTGTTCAAGATGCTCTTGGCTGAGTCGACGACACGATTGGGGACTTGAGGAGAAACCTTGTGGCATGGTCATGCTGACGTCAGCTCAAGCTATTTCAGTCACCTTAGAGGCGTACGCCACCCCGCGAACTCTCCTGACGTGTCCGATGTTGACCAGGTTTACGGGCTTCAGAGTCTACAGACCGGAAGTGCGTCAAAGAAAAGTTTACAGCAGCTTCCATCGGCTCACCTTCACGACGGGGCATCTGAACAGAACTTCTCCGCCGCCGTTGGGTCGCGCTCCTCGCTTGAGAACTCTCAGCTCAAGCCCTTCGGAGATTCCGAAGTGCTTCAGCAGCGGCATGGTGACAGTTCTCAGCGTGTCAACGCACAGGCTTGTCTCCTCGTTGGTGATGCCTGGGCCATCAGTGTCTCAGTGATCTGACGAGCTACTAGAGGTTGCGAGTCACTCCAGCAGTCACCTGTAAGAGTGATAGCGACTGGGTTCTTGGCGAACGGAGCTATACACAGCAAGGCTTCGAGGAACCATCCAATACCTGCACCAGGAGTTACCTTGTCTTCACGTACTGGATCAAAGTGCTTAACCTCTAGTCTTCCCGCAGTCATGTTCTAGTCCAGTCCCTCCGACCAGTACTCCTGGCTTGTATCGCATCTTTGTTCCCGTGTCGTTGATCTCAATCATACAGCCGTTGGACAGCTTCTCTATCATCCGAAGGAACGAAGCCTCGAAATCCCGGAGGCCAGGGGACTCAGTGTTAGCACGGATGTCCGAGATCCGAATGGCCTTCAATGCAGTCAGTTCGCCATCACCTTGCCCAGATGCTATCGAACCAACCTTTCCTGTCAGTGTGGATGCAATGATCCTGTAGCGGAAGATAGAACATCCTTTGAAGTTCAGGCTCTGATTCTTCGACATCGTCTGCAAGAAGATATCAACACAAACATCACCCGATGATTGAAATCTCGATGTCCTTCTTCCTAGTGTGATTCTTTTCCCTTCAAGTCTCCCTCTCTCTTACGGTGAACCGACTTTTCAACTTGTGCTCCCTTGCGATCATCATCATCAGATGTGCGACCCCCCCTCTCTCTGTGCATCATCTTGTCTTGTAATCTTTACATCTTCATCTTGTCTTGTAATCTTTACATCTTCTTCTTGTCTTGTAATCTTTACATCTTCTTCTCTCTCTTCCTTCCCTTGTTTCCTCGTCTCATCCTCGCCTTCCCTCCTCTCCTTCTCCCTCCACCGCACGTGCCAAATCGCCATTGACTTGTGGCCCTCATCCCCGCACATCCGGGCCTCACCTTTGCTCCGGTGCCCCAGCCGGTACCCGGCGTGACTGAGATCGCCCCCGGGCCTTGATCGCCGGGTCAGGCCCTGACTCACAAGGGCGACATGGCCATGGTGGGGGGCCGGATGCGCGCGATGCTGGCGATGCAGATGGCGATCTGGGTGAGAGGAGTAGAGAGCTTCCTCTCTCCTCCTCCCTCTTCTCTCCGAGCTCTTTCTCCTCATGCCCTCTCTCCTCCTCGATCTTTGCACACATTTCGATGCTCGTTCGCGAGAGGGTTCGCGCATAGAGGCTTGTCGACTAGCGTGAGCATGACGGAAGGAGGCGGAGTGGTGGAGACAGGGAAAAAGCTGAACCTATCAGGGTTGAAGAAGGAGACGAGCAGACAAGTCCTTCGTCATTTCAAGAGGGTCACCAAGTTAGAGGAGAGGAAGGCGAGACTGGAGCAGGACACGTCTGAAGAGAGCCTGAGCACGCTAGAAGAAGTTCAGATCGAGCTCGACGGCATGCGAGATCGACTTCGCAAGCTGAACAAGCTTGAGGAGATGCTGGCGGGTGTGAAGGACGCGAAGGATCCCGCCATGGCTGCGGCAGAGGAGCTCGCGCTCTCGCTGGAAGTTGGCGACACCCCACCCGAGCGACAACCTAGAGGACCGACGAAGCAGAAGCAGAAGACGGAGACGAAGTCGAGGCTGCCCTACCACACCTACATGTCAGCTGACGGCATCGGTACCGACTGCGTCGCTGCTGCCTCAGGTTGACTCACTGCGCAGAGATTCGAGTAGGAAGAGCAGCCAAGGACAACGGTAATTCGAGAGCAGCCTCCTCCCTCCCGCCTTCCCTCTCCCGCCTTCCTCCTCTCCCTCTCTCTCCGTCCCTTCTACGTGCCCTCCCACCCTCCCTCTCTTTCTCAATCTTGGATCCACGCCCTCTCCTCCCTCTTCCCCTCTCCCCCCACCTCCTGGTCCCCTACCTGCTTTGGGCTCGTACGACAGGAGAGAGGCAAGAGAGGATGACGCGATGGCCCATCAGATCAGCTCACCCTCAAGGAGCGAGACCCCAACGACTGGTGGCTTCACGTCTCCGGCTGCCCTGGTTCCCATGTGGTGAGCAAGGGAGGAGGAGGAGGATGGTGCGGGTTAAGTTCCTTCTCCCAGGTCATCCGGGACACGAGTGAGAAGCCTCCTGTGGAGACGGTGAGGTGGAGGGGAGGCGGCGGCGGCCGCCGCAGCAGCAGCAGCAGCAGCAGCAGCAGCAGCAGCAGCAGCAGCAGCAGCAGCAGCAGCAGCAGCAGCAGCAGCAGCAGCAGCAGCAGCAGCAGCAGCAGCAGCAGCAGCAGCAGCAGCAGCAGCAGCAGCAGCAGCAGCAGCAGCAGCAGCAGCAGCAGCAGCAGCAGCAGCAGCAGCAGCAGCAGCAGCAGCAGCAGCAGCAGCAGCAGCAGGTGTGCTGATGGAGAAGAGCAGGTACAGGACGCGGCTGTCTTGGCGGCACATTTTTCTCAGGTTTGGAAGGGGGTATCAGTGGGATAGGGAGCTGACCCGTCCAAGGCGGGAGGAGGAAGACAAGCAGTGAGCATGACAAGATGTAGAGACGTGAAGAAGGAACCGGGGGCCCCAGCAGGTGACGATGATGACGAGAGAAGGAGCAATGAGGGAGGGAGGGAGGGAAGGGGGGAGGGAGGGAGGGAGGGAGAGAGGGAAGGTAGAGGAGGTCTAATTGCATCATTCTTCAGGTCAGGTGAGGTTGGTTGGCAACGTCATCACCGTTAAGGTCGACCTTAAGGTACGCGGGAGGAGTCACTGGGGTGTTTGTGGGCGGGAGGCCCGGGGACGAGGCTGAGGCTGGGACTGACACCGGGGGGCAGATGGAGAAGCAGCGAATAGAGAGGCTTCTAGAGACCAAGAGCTGATGGGATTAACGAGCTTCAAGTGAACTTACAAGAACTTTCTTGTCCTCCCATAGTCGTTGTAGAACTTTCGGATCGGTTCCGACCGGCAGCCATCTCATCTCTCCCTCGGCCCCCAGATCTTCATCTTCGAGTCAGCAGATGCTGTCACAATCAGCGGCTTCTCATGGTGGAAACTTGCACAGTAGACCTGCGCTCCCGTTAGCTTCAACCTTCTCGCTCTCATCCCCTCCTCCCCCCCCCCAAACCCTCCCCCCTCCTTTTTCGTCCTCTCCCTCCTCCCTCCTCCCAATCTTCCAACTCCCTCTCACCCTGTCCGCATGACCCTCCAGCTTCTGAAAGAACTCGCCGAAGGAAGGGTTGCTGATGTCGTACACGTAACAGTACTTGTCGACGCTGCCGTCATTGTCAGCTCCTCCTACCCTTATGTCTCGATCATCGTCACCTCCCAGTCGCCACAAGGAGCGACTTGTCCAGGGTCGTGGAGCGAGAAGTGGAGGATGCAAGTTGTTGGGTTGAAGCTGAAGAAGGGACAGTTACGTCAGGGGTGCACAACAGTACGAGGAGGATGAGGAGGAAGGAGAGAGGACAAGGAGGATGGAGGAGGGGAAAGTTTTGGGATGGACTAGAATCCTTAAATGGGGGAAAGAGGAAAGTACCGAAATCCTGTGAAAGTGCAAAAAATCAGCCGTCAAGCATTGAGAAGCAGTAGGGAAGGAACACGAGAAAAGCAAACACGCAGTGTGTATGTAGCGTCAAGAGCAAGGACAACAAAAGGAGAAGAGGAGAGAACGGAAGGAGAGCAGCAAAGAGACAAAGTTAGAAATGGAGCTCAGCCGAGAGCGAAAGGAGCTGTTACTGCAAATGCTCACGTTGGCGTAGTTGTAGAGTTTGCCCCTGAAGAAAGAACTCCTGATGGGGAAATTCTTGTTTTTGTGCCCCTACCACACAACTCGTCAATCCCACCCAACCCGTCCATTCATCCTCCTCCCATACTCCTCTACTGTGATGCTCACCTGCAGCGAGTGGATCATTCGGAGAGACTCCCGGCTGCCCGGCATCTGGTCCCTTTCATGGCTTCCAACATTTGCTCGTGAGAACACCTGAATTCAATCAGAGAAAAGCCAGGAAAATGCATCCATCATCATATGAAGAAACAATGAAGTGGGATGCGTCAATGAATGCAAAGTAGGTTGTTCCTTACCCGTAAGATGTTGTCGTAGCTGTTCGCTGCTAATAGTGAAATCTAACGACAACAGAAGTCATGCAATGCTCGTACAAGAAGCATGATTTTCTCACCTCTTGCGATTGAGATAGTGTTGCAAAGTGTAAATCACTGATTGGTTTGTTGGACTCGATGTGGAATGCCACAGAATCGCAAGCTGATTCGTTCATCATGCGCAAATCCCATGCTTTGATGCATCCCTTAGAATCTCCAGAGAACAGCTTGTTGCACTGAAGCAAACCATCACACACACCCGGCAATGAGAGAGAAGCAAGAAATTACATCTGGCGTAAAGCACAGACCATTCATCATCCCGTCGTTCTGCAGGACACTGGCAAACGTGGAAGATCGCTTATCGATCAAGCATGCCTGCAGCGAACACCTCGATCAAACCAACATGGCTCTTGAGAGAAAGGAGATCATCACTTGATTCTGAGAAGTTCCGGCCCAAATCTGGTTGCAGTCTAGAGGGTGGCAGACGCAGCAGAGGACAAATCCACAGAGCTCATACGAGGAGACTGACTTGCAAGCCTGAAGTCGGAGGACGTCAAAACAGCCCATGACTTCATCACTCGATAGAGCAAACAACCTGCAAGTCCCAATACTTGACGGATCTGTCGTACGCACCTACCCTTGCACATCAGCACCAACAGAGAGGGGCTGGAGTTCTTGTTTCACCGGAGACCAAGAACAAATCGTCACTTGTCCATGAGACATCGCTTACATTCAGGTTGTGCTCCTGGCAGCGTACACAATCAGATGTCTTCACGCAAAGTTTGATGAGACACCTGTAAGATAGACTTCTCCTCCCCCTGTTTCGTCATCACCAGCATCATCAGCTCTACCCTAGGGGCCAAGGTTCTGCAAGGTTTACCTGAAGTCGACCAGCCGAATCGCTCTGGACCGTCCAGATTCTACAAGTAGAGTCAGATTCGGGAGAGAACGCAAAAGGAGGGAATGTGCACAAGTGGAGGAAGCTATGACAAGAGGAAGGAGTGAATCTTCAGGGAGGCAAGGAAGGTGGGGTATGGAGCGGACGGGGTAATGGAGGGCAGCAAACAAGGGAAGACATGGGAATGAAAGGGATGAATGAGGGAAGAGTCCGAGGTAGGGCAGAGAAGGGGAGGGGAGGGAGGGATCTGACCTGACGCTTTTGTCTAGAGACCCCGAGGCAATATACTGCCCCTGCATGAAAATTGAGATCTAGCATGGTTCAGGAGGACGAGGGCGAATCACCTTATGGCAGAATCGCGCTACGTACACGGCACCAGCATGACCCTGTGGAGGAAGTCACGAGGGAAGAGAGGAGATGTCAAGAGAGAAGAGGACCTCAAGGTCACACTTGCAAGAGAAGCTCTTCCCCTCCTCCTTCCTCTGCACAGGTTTGTTGTGAACCTCCTCCTGAAGTTGGTCTTGAATTCCTTCTGAAGTATCAATCCCATCGGAAATTGTCAAGGAATCCTGAAAAGACGGGCAACGCCTTACTCACTGAGTACAAGGCGAGCAGACAGTGCTACCTGAGAGCCGACCATGTGGTTACTGGATCTTTGCTTGATGCTCAGCTCGAAGTATGCTCGCTTCAGCTCTTTGTACTCTCTTTCCATTTTCTCCAGTTTCGACCGAAGCGTTTTGTTCTCCATTTCCACGAGATCAATCGATCTTTGTGCGGAATGGACTTCACGAGTCAGTGAGGCTGCTGAGGTGCTCATCTTAGCCTGCTTTCACGGTGCTTCTCAAAACTTATGCTCCGCAGCCAGCATTTCCAGCGCCCACGAATCAGTTTTTGAGCAGGATTCTCATGATCTAGGTAGAGCAGGCAAATGCTGTGATTATTTTCTTCTTGTATGAGAGATCATATCACATGACGATGAGGATTCAGACACTGAAGGCGACGAGGACTACTGCTCCAACGCCACTTCATGCTCCAACAAGCCTCGTGAGCTTCGCCAGCCAAGGACAACTCAAATCCGAGACAGGAGGGGAGGCAACTACGGAGACAGGGAGAGAAGAAGGGGGAGCAGGATCAACTGACTGGCCTTTCTCTCACTTGCTCCTCCTCCTTCTCCGTCCTTCCATAACCCGTCTGTGCATGCCGCACCAACCCTGCCACCCCACCCCCCTACCAACTTCGTTTCATGTACCCCACCTTTTTATTTTGATGCCTGAATACTACCCCCACCCCATTTTCGACTTCACACGCCATGGAAACCCTACATCATAGGATCCTGTACCGGTCCAGCATTGATCCGAGATTGGTACCCTACCCCACTTTTACTACCTTCATGACCCCACCTCATATCACTCATGAGACTTCTTGCATACCCCTACCCCTCCTGCTTGTTGTCCTGGAAACAAGCTAAACTATTGGGCTGAGCTAAACTCAGTTCAGTGGCCCGGCCGGGCCCAGGGCGGGGCCGGCGGGGCACTCACCGGGACCGTCACGCCGTGCCGCGCCGCTGACACGCCAACCGGCGTCCGATCATACTATCCCGCGAGTCGGCCCAATCTGAGGAGCCTCGGGCCGGACTCCCGGGAGAGTTCAAGAGGACTGCGGCGCCCGGCCGGGGCCGGCACGGCCTTTTCAGCCTATTATCAGTCGGATTCAGACGCCGCCACTCAGTGAAGGGCTCTGGGCCAGTGGCATAATCATGATCGGATCGACCTTAGTTGCCAACCGTTGAACTGAGACAGTTTTGGCAGTGACCGGGTCCCGGATCAGCACAGGCTGCGGCACGCCGGTACCGTCCGTACAGTAGTACTGAACGGTACGGTACTCCGTAGTACCGCCGGTACTGCCTACATTGCCGCCTTGAAACGCGTAAGGGTCGTCTTGGTTTACAGGAGAGTTTTGTTATCTGAGAGTCGGCGGCCGCTTATCTGACTGGCACGGCTGGCATAAAAAGTATCACGATCAATCAATCACTCAGCGGCCCCGCCGCCCGGCCGGCCGGTGGCCGGGCGGCACGGCGGCTTGCCCGGCGCAGTGCGGCCGCCGGGCGCCCCGGCAAGTCACCGTCACACTGAGTCAGTGCCGCGCTGCCATGCTACGGACCCGCGGCGGCCCGTACGGTCCGGCCCGTCCGGGCCCCGACGGTACGGAAGTTCGGCCGCCGCTGAGTCCCGGGCCCCGGCCCGTCGCCGGACTCGGGAGTGATCAAAAGGATCAAGTACGGTACCGGCGGTACGGTACGGTCATCGATCACGGCTGACCGTGACTCAGTCGCGGTAAACTTCGGAATGACCAGGGCCGGGCGGGCGGGCGGGCGGGGGGGGGGTAGGGTAGTCAGTGAGTCCTTACAATTTACCAGGGACCTGACAGATAGTACCCCCCACCCCCCACATCCGGCCACGTGACTGGGTGTAGTAACTTGCCGACACTGTGACTTTGGAAAGGAGAGGGGTGACTACCCCTCTTGCTACTGGCCCTACCCCTATCACCTTATCGGATTTTGCTGCCGTGGGGTTGTTTTGACAATCTCAAAAGGGGGTAGGGGGTAGGGGGAAAGAAGCAGATTTTTGGTGCGATAAGTGATAGTAGACCTAGGACTTTGGTTCATAGAATACCTAGGACCTCCTATAAATTCCAAATAAAGGTCAAATGAACATGACCGGGTGCTGAACTCGGAATATACTCATCATACCCTGCACCACCCTCATTAAATGACCCCCCTGGTAGTCATATGTACGGGTGGTGAAGGGTATATCTTACATACCACCGGTGAGTGGTTCTGGACCCCACCCACTGCTCCTCTACAGAATAACCCTGCGGTCAGCGCGCCGGCCATGGCTACCATGCGGGGACGAAGCTGGAGCTGTGGAGAGACGAGCGGAGGATGCGAGGAGAGCGGGAGAGGGAAGGCAGGCGGAAGATGGTAGAAGTCAGGTTGATGATTGCGCGTTCCTTGGGTTGAGATCAGGAACACGGTGCCAGTATGAATGTTCAAAGGAGAGAATCACAAGTGGGACGAATTTGAACTCCATGGAGAGCGGCAGAAAATTGATGTGAAGGATCGATCGAGCACTAGGGTGGTGGGACCGGATTGACTGATGGTATACTGATGACTGAACCACTCTCATGCAAAAAATTCTAGAGGTTCCAAAACATGCACTAGGAAGCGGTTGCAAGTTTTGTAGCCATTCATACCCAGAGTCAGCTTGTATAACTGTTCCTGTTCTGAATGGCATATACATCCTCCCAAAGCATGCTGGACTTGAAATGTTCCTTCAATTTGTGATAAGTGGCAGCAGGCAGGACTGATTGAAACTGAATAACGCCAGCCACGCATCGAGTACAATGCACCCGAAGGTAATTCTTCCGTCTGTTTCTTCAGTATTTCCCTGACCGCTTCCTCCAAGACTGATAACACCGCATCCCCGATCACCTCCCCCTTTCCTGCGTCTTTGCCAACAAACCCAGCCGGTATTCTGTCGCCATTAACTGCCGCAAGACATGCGGGCAGCACTGCAGCGATGGAGATTATGGGAAAGCTCAATCAGCAGGCAAGCAGGCAAGGATTGAAGTTTTCATCCTAGCAAAGTTCTGACAGGCAACGGATCAGCTTCTTTCTAGCGGATGTACACAGAGATTCTTATCCCATCACTTTCGTGTCGGAGAATTTTTGCAAACTTACAGGTATGTTGCTGAACAGCCAGAGTTCGTCATATTCTTGACCATGAGCTTATCTTAGGGTACTCTATGGATGAATGCCTTGGAAAGGAATATTTCTTTTTCAAGGGACCTCAAACAGACAAGGACGCCGTCGAAGACCTGCAGAAGGCAAGTGTTTTTCCAACGTAAGACTGTCTCACTGGAGAGCAAACAGTCTGTCGAAGACGGAGTAGAGTATGGCTGCAAGCTGATTTGCCACAAACGGGATGGGTAACACCGCTCGTACCTATTTATTGCTCTTGAAACATGTTTACAGGAGCACTTTCTGGACCAATCTCAACGTATGCCCTGGTTTGTGTGGATTGCTTGAACCGACCCGATGCGTCCCTCACAAGTATTTTAGTCAAGGATAAGCAAGGAAATCTGCAGATGATTGTAGGGAATTTGGAGGAGTTGGATGACAAGGGAAATACCTTGGTACGAGAGCAGGTTAAAGCCTTGGAAACTCAGTCCGTTGAAATTTTTGTTGCTACAGGATTTTCCCTCAGTAGACCATTTCGATTCGACAGAAGATTTTGCGCATCAGCTGTCCCATAAGATGATGATGCATGTACGTACAACGTACATGCCATGGTTGTGCAAAGGTGGTAACTGTGGCTATCAGGAGAAGAAGCCAGCTTTTATCAATGAAGCATACACGACTCGTTTGACAGATTTGCAGCGAAATGAGGCAAGTTGAAATCTTCTCAAGGGGCATCATAGAAATGTCTAACGCACGGGTATGGCAACACCAGGTTGTCTGCGTGGCAGACGCTCGACTTCCTGACTGTCCGATTGTCTTTGCCAACCAAAGATTCTTTGATTTGACTCAGGTAGGTGGTTTTGCTTCTTGTTTGAATCTACTCCCAACCTCACTCGATTGACAAACCCGGCAGTACACCCGCGAAGAAATTCTTGGCCGTAACTGCAGATTCCTGCAAGGGCCCGACACAGACAGAGATGATGTGACTGAGATTCGCGAAGCGATCAAAGCTGGTCGTCCTGTGTCTTCATGCATTCTAAATTACAAGTGAGGGCGGCCTGTTGTTTGTAGGTCTTGTAATTTTGTTCTTTCTTGCTAACAGGAAAGACGGAACCCTGTTTTGGAATCACTTGCACATTGAACCAGTATGCTCTGCTTTCTCGCACCAGCTAGACTCTAAAAGTCCTTGAAGGTGCATGACAACAACGGGAGCATCACTTTCTTCGTCGCCTCACAGGTTGATGCTCATCAGTGCGGGACAGTTGCTGGGGGCTGACTCTGGTCTTGCAGCATGACGTCACGCACCTTATGGACGAGGCGATAGAGCACATCTGCGAAGGCAACTCTCTCACTCTCTCCAGCTTGTCGCTGGTCTGACGGTCGATGAGCAGGCAAGCCGATAGATCTTGACAAGTACAACGAGGGCAAGAGGATAGAAGAGGCTCAAGATGATGCCCTTCAGAGCGTTATCTTCTCGCTCCCAACAGCAGACCAGGTGAGAATCTCTTGGGTTGTGTCGTGGTCTAAGTCTGTTTCTCCTTCCTTCTCCTCTTGCTCCCTTACAGTTTGGCGATCGACATCTGCTCAAGCAAGGTTTTCATCACTAGCAACGCCTATAGCCTATCAACACTTTGTTCTACTCACAATCTCTCCTTCTCAAACTCCTCAGCTTCGTCCGCCTTCCACTAGTCCAGGTCGTCTCATCTCTTCGCTCATCATAACGCGCTGCACTGCCTCCGCCAAGTCCTGCAGTCCCTCCCCCTCCTACCTTTCTCTCACTTCCTCCACCTCAGCTCCACAGGCTCCCAGTGACTAGTGGAGACACAAGGCAGGCCCATGTGCCTCCACACATGAGGTTGGCAGGAAGTTGGAGAGCGAGAGCAAGAGATCCAACAGAGCTCGTGTTCCCTCCTTGTCCTCGTCCTCGTCCTCGTCCTTCTCGTCGTCCGGGTCCTTGTCCTGCTCTTCGTCCCGCATTCTCTCCCGTCCTCCCTTCTGAGCTTCTGCATCCTCCATGCAGTCACATGCTCAGCCATCAAGCAATCTCACGAGGGCAGTCACAAAGAGCTGCAACCTCCTGCAACTACTTCCGCTCGGCCAGAGGAGGCAGCTGCTCATCTGGTCTCTGTGTCCTCCGCCTGAGGGCGATTCATTTTGCCTGCTCCTCCTCCTCCCTCCTCCCGCGCTGGTCGTTGAAGTTCTCTTCCTCTTCCTCCTCCCGCGCTAGTCGTTCAGGTTGAGAGGAGGAGTGCTCGCTATCGATGTTTGTCACAGCAGCCCGCGTGTAAGATCTGACGGGAGATCTTGTCCTGTCCTTTCATGAAGGTGTCGAAGTATCCACGAGTCAAGTTCTCTTCCTCCTCAGCAGGACCGGAGGAGCGAGGGGCGTCAGCTCGCTGCTGGGAAGGCTTGTCTCGCGGGCACTCTTGGATGAAATGCTCGAGAATATCGATCTCCACGACTTGCAAAGTTTTCAACCTCTTCCTATGAGATTGTCACCCACGCACCCCGCGCCCTCTCCTCCTGCCCAGTCTCCTCCCTCCTCCCTCCTTCCCTTCTCCTCCTTGGTTGCTTCCAATCTCCCTCCTCGTCTTCGTCCTCGTCCTCGTCCTCGTCCTCACCTAAAAATCTTCCAGGTGTTGCTCTGGGGCATCAGAGCGTCGATACTCTCCATGCATCTTGATCGGCAGGTAAGAAAGCAACCAGAAAGGCGCTCCCTACCGTTTGAGATGTCGGTTGTTCTGAGGATCCATAAAGTCCAGCCTCATCCTCGCCCAGACCTTGACCTCCCACGTCACAACACGCTCACCCTCCCTCCTCGCTCCCTCCGTCCTCTCCGACCCTGTTGGCCTACGTCTGCTTCCTCCCTGTTATCTCCTTGGCTCCCTTCTACCCTTCCCCTCCTTACCGGAAGCTCAAACATGCGGATGAGCTTGTCCAGTCTGGTCAGGAGAAGAGCGTTTCTGTTGTACGTTGACGCCGACCGCCCTTCCTGCAATATAGGAAACAGAAAAGTGAGAGTACGACGACTAGGATGAGGATGCGAGGAAGGAGGAGGCGAAGAAGAGGAGGATGAGGAGGATGAGAAGGAGGAGGATGAGAAAAAGGAGGAGGATAGCGATGATGATGAGTAGGAGGAGGAGGAGGAGGAGGAGGAGGAGGAGGAGGAGGAAGAGGAGGAGGAGGAGGAGGAGGAGGAGGAGGAGGAGGAGGAGGAGGAGGAGGAAGATCTTACATGGATGTGCGACATGATCTGGCCAACAATGAACGAGGACATCTCATACGCCTGACATCAGGTTGGTGTCAGCTGGGCCGGGCGCCGCCTCCTTCACCTGGCACAGGAGAGCGATGGATAGGGCCGCGACCTCGTTGACAACAAAAGTCTGATGAGGAGAATGAGACGGAAACAATCTCCCTGCTGCTGCTGCTGCTGCTGCTGCTGCTGCTGCCGCTGCTGCTGCTGCTGCTGCTGCTGCTGCTGCCGCTGCTGCTGCTGCTGCTGCTGCTGCTGCTCCTGCCCCTCCTCCTCTTCCTCCTCCTCTTGCCTCTCTTTCTTCCTCCCCCTCCTCCTGACTCTCTCTCCTCCTCCTATTCCTCCTCCTGCTCCTGCTCCAAACTTCTCCCACCCCTCCCTCCTCGCCATTCCATCTCCTCTCACCGAGAACAGAATCCCAAACAGTTTGATCTGTTCCTCCGTGCTTCCTCGGGACCGCAGCCTGCCGCAAGTCACTTGATACGTGAGCACGCCTTGCGATCCACTTGAGCGATGACGATGACGCGTGCGATCTGAAGTTGGGCAACTTGCTCCGCAAGGTGTTCATCCTGCTCTCCAGTAGCAGGATCTGATTGAGCTTCTCCACAAACTCTCCGACCTGCAGCACTGCCACGTCACGAGCAGCTGCCAAGGAGGAGGAGGACGGCATACGAAGAGGATGTCGTCCTCAGACGTCAAGATCTCGCAGACGGAGGTGAACGCTTGTTCTGCTAACTCCTCAGCATGCAACCTCCCTGCTCCTGCTGCTGCTGCTGCTGCTGCTGCTGCTGCTGCTGCTGCTGCTGCTCCTCCTCCTCCTCCTCCTCCTCCTCCTCCTCCTTCTCTTCACCTGGCCCGATGGAATCGCAGAGCATGTTGATGGCGAGAGAAGCTCTTGTGTCTAGAAGAACTCGCTTCTCCTGCTCACAGGGAGTGCGCGTCAGAACAGTGCTGTGGGAGAGGAAGAGGACTAGTGGTAGAGGAGGTGGTGAAGGAGGTAGGGAGGGAAGGAGGAGGTAGGGAGAGAAAGAGGAGGAGTCAGGGAGGGAAGGAGGAGGAGTCAGGGAGGGAAGGAGGAGGTAGGGAAGGGAAGAAGAGTAGAGAGGGCGGGGAGCGGGGTGGGAGGAGAGGTTTGCACACCTTGAAGAAGTTCAGAAGGTTCTGAAGGAGAGCTTTGAACGAGGACTCCTGCAATTTCGTCCGGAAGATTTGACCGACTGACATCACACGCGTCACTTTCTTGTTACTTCCGCCCCTGCTAGTTTTGCTGGTTTTCTCCTCTGCTCCTGCTCCTGCTCCCTAATCGGATCCTTTCTCTTACCGATGTCAATACAGAGCTCAGCCGCCTGTTCGTCGTCTTCGAGTCCCGACAGCACGGAGATGAAGACCTTAGCGGGCCGTCAACTCCATCACGAGACTCGGGCCCTGACCTTATCCGACACAAGACACTCGGGATGGTACGAGAGAAGAAGCTTGAACCACTGCAGATATTTCAAGTCAGAGGGCTCACAAAGTCAAGTGCGAAGATGGAGGAAGGGACAAAAACCTCCTTGACAAGCATGGAGATGTCCAAACAAAAAATCATTGGTGTGAGGCATCGAAGGTGACTTGAGCCGAAATGCTGTGCAAACAGCTCCAGAGCTTTACCTTCAGCACGGTGAATCGAAGCTTCCGGTTGTCCGACTTGGAAACCTCTACAGTCACATTTGCTATCCTCTCCTGAGATCCCAACCAGCGTCAGCACCTGCTGCCTCCTCCTCCCCTGTCGACCTGATCCTCCGCACTCCACTTGACGCCCGTCCACAAGATCTGTGTGACCTCGGCCTCGAGCTCGGCCAGGCAATGTTCCACCTGCTCTCCTTCAGCGCCATCCTCCTCATCCTCCTTCCTCTCCTGTTCCTTTTCCTTTTCCTGATCCTGTTCCTGCTCCTACTCCTGATCCTGCTCCTGCTCCTGCTCATGAAGGGCTCCTAACCTGCTCGACGACATCGAAGTGGAAGCCCGCACGAGCTCTCTCCGACAGGGCTACCAATACATCGAGGAGCTGAACATGCAGCAAGGGCATGTCATGTTCAGGGCGGGCGAGACGTCAAACTTTTCAACCTCAGCCGTGTAGTTGTGAATCTCCTGCAGTGCCACGTCACCATCACCAGCCACAGCTGCGATCACGCGCTAACCTTGGTGCGATATCTGATAATAGTTCGGATCCATCGCACGGCCATCGACCACCTGGACAGTAGGAGTTACTTGCAGGAGAAGGTAAGGAAATAGAGGAGAAGTTGTTGAGGGAGAGGAGAAGTTGTGGAGGGAGAGGAGAAGTTGTTGAGGGAGAGGAGAAGTTGTGGAGGGAGAGGAGAAGTTGTTGAGGGAGAGGAAAAGGTGAGGAGGAGGCGTGGAGAACGAGGAGAGGGTGAGGAGGAGGCATAGGGGTTGCGGAGGAAGGTGAAGTTGTGGAGGAAGAAGGCAGGTTGTGGAGGAAATGGCAACCTTCCCTCGTGGATGCCTCTACACTGGTTGAACAACACCTCGAGAACCTGTCGAAGGTAAATGAATGTACACGATCACTAGCTCATCGCCAGTTACCTCACAGTAAGAGAACGGATGTCTCGATTTGTTGAGGGCCTGAGAGACAAATAAAGTCAGGTTGTCTCCTTGTCATGACCGAAGATTTCATCATCACATCAATGGCACGATCGTGAAACTGCTCCAGGCACTCCAACGCTAAAGTCTTCACTGTCAACACCATCGTCATCATGATAGTTAGAGCCATGGCGAGGGGGACGATAGAGCTTTCGATGATGATGTTGTTGTTGTCGATGATGGTGGTGGTGGTGGTGGTGGTGGTGGTGAAGTTGTTATTGTTGTTGTTGATGTTGATGATGATGATGTTGTTGTTGATGATGATGATGGTTTTGTTGTTGTTGCTGCTGCTGCTGCTGCTGCTGTTGATGATGGTGGTGAAGTTGATGATGATGATGATGATGATGATGATGATGATGATGATGATGACGGCAACTACCTGAGTTGTCGTTATGCGACGTCATCATAAAAATCGCCTGCCGTGGTCTTATAACCATTTTCTTGCTCTCACCCCCCCGTTACAACCTGCGTCAACTCTGCGTGGTTGTGCAGCAAATCTCTCCCTAACCATGGCGAGCTCTCGAGTGCAATGATCCACCTTGAAAGATGTGAGTACTTGCAGAGGACATGGAGGTAGGAGACGAGGAAGTCAAAAGACAAGAGAAGGAGGGTCGAGAGAGACGGCGGCAGCCTCGGCAAGGATGATGATGATGATGATGATGATGATGATGATGATGATGATGATGATGATGATGATGATGATGATGATGATGAAGCGGAGGAGGAACAGGAGGAACAGGAGAGGGAGGGGGAAGAGAAGCTGGCACGACTTGAGAGATGTGCGATACATTACCTGAGGACAGCACAAGAGCTGCAGGAGGAGTCGAGACGGAAGCCGGCGAGGAAGGTCGGGAGGATGTTCTACTCATGCTTCCTTCACCTCCCAACTCCGATAGTCAAGCTCGACTCACCACAGCACTGATATCGTTGGACTCGCAGACGATGATCTGAGTGGAGCGATCGGGACGGAAGGGTTCAGGTGAACGGAGGGGAAGAAAGGGAGAGGGAGGTGAGAGGAATAGAGTGGAGTAGAGGAGAGGGTCAGGAAAGCGGCGAGAGGAGAGTGGAGGGGAGCGGAGGGGAGTGAGCAGAGCGGAGCGCTAAAGAGAGCAGCAAATAGGACATGCGGGGGAGGGTGGCAAGAGGGAATGGGGAGCTGATTGCGGCATGAACCTGCAGGAGACTTTCCACTGCCAGCAGGGCTTCAGCAACATCGTCGTCCTGCTCGTTCGCTGCTGCGATGAGCGAGTCCATGAGGAGAGCGCAGAAGGGAGAGATGGCCTGCGGAGCTCAGAGTCACGAGGATAGAGAGGAAAGTCAGAGGGGTAAAGGAGGAGGAAGCGAGGAGAAGATCAGCAGGAGTGGAGGATCAAATGAGGATCAGGCGAGGAAGAGGAAGAAGATCGGTAGGAGGAGGAGGAGGATGCAGAGGAGGCGGAGGTTGGATGGAGTGCTGTTGGTGTATCCATAGCGAGATGACGAAGGGGGGAGTGCCGGTGAATTCCTCCTTTCAAAACCATCTCTTCTCACCTGGCGAACGGTCCGGCAGATGTTGTACAGCGACTCCAGCGCTGCCAGTCGAACTTTCCTGTCCGTGTCCTTGGCACAGCTCGCAACGCTGGGGAGGAGGATGTGGAGGTAGTCTTTCGACCGCACAGGGCCAAGGCCAAGGACAAAGGAAGCAGCTGCTGCTAGAGCTCCTGTCCGGATCTTCATCTTCTCTCCTCTGCCGTAGCTCTGCGAGACGGGAAACAGTGCCAGGTGATGGGCAAACTGGTTCAAGGATTCGAGGGAGGAGGAGTCGCCTGCGGCTGCTGCTTCTGTCATCTCCCTAGCCCAGGTCTCCACCTCCTGGACTCCAATGGCGCGTTCATCGCGATGCTCCAGCAGCTGCGGGTGAGGAGGCAGAAGAAGTGAGAAACGAGAAAGCGCCTCACCCGCAGGACGAAGGGGGGAGACAAGAGAAGGGGAGGAGGGGAGGAGGGGAGAAGAGGGGAAACGGGGAGATGAGGAGATGAGGAGATGAGGGGAGGAGGGGAAGGAGAGGGAGGAGGAGATGAGAGGAGGAGGGGAAGGAGAGGGAGGAGGAGATGAGAGGAGGAGAGGGGGAGAGGGGGAGAGGGGGAGAGGATTGAGCACAAGTCGCTAACCTCCCTCAGCCACTCCCCGGCCTTCTCCTGATCCGCCATTGCGACCACCCCTACCCCTCCCTTAGCCTTCTTCAGTCCTAGACCCCTCCTGTAGAAATTTTCTCTCCCCGACACGCCCCGACACTGCATGGGATGGAACGGCAGCGAGGGAGCGATGGAGAGAGGATGAAGGAGAGGGAAGGGAAATGAGTGCATCACCATGACGTGCTGGCGGTAAAAGACACACCAGCATGCTGATGGCAGCGAAAGAACGCTGATCGCCAGGATCCTTCGCTTTCTGCTCCTCCTCTTCTCCTCTTTGAGACTTGCCATGGTCGTCGGTGCCGAGGTGAGGGTTGTTGTTGTTGTCTACACTCAGCTCATTGCACGTGCAGGAAGCATGCCTGCTGACAGCAGCAGAAGCTCGTGAGTGGCGATACAGGGGGGAGGGCTCCATGAACTTAGTGATGGCCTACATTGGCGGTGAACTCTTCGGGTTTGTATGAGCGACAACTGATAACTTAGGTTCATGCAGACAAGGAGGGTCTTCAAGGAAAGGTCTTACGACTCCGCAAAGCTCCAATAGACAGCGACGAGAGCTTCAAGTGCGCATCAATAGAGGAAAGCTACGCATTTCTACAGCGGCAACAGTTCTCCAAGCTTGATGGCTCCTGCCTTCCACGAGGACTCCTCGTCTTAGTGTCTCGAGACTTTCTCGCCAGCGTCAAGTCCTCCTGTCACGGTCTGCGACCTGCGCACCGGCTGACCAGAGACTTGGACTTGACCGCGAGGTCTGGATGGCTGCTGCCGGATCTAGTATCCGTGCCTAAGGAGCTCTTGGTGGGAAGCAAGGTCTTTCTCGGCATTGAGATCAAACCAAAGTGCGGGACCCTGCCCGATCGCAAGCTGTTGAGTTCAGCTACAGCCATCAAGGCACAAGTCAGCAGATACCGCATGATGCAATACGAGAAGCTGAGGACCGGGAAGATAACATCTATCAGCTCCTACGACCCCCTCGACCTCTTCTCAGGAGATTTGCTGCGAATGCAGACAGCGGTAGAAGTATTGATAACTTCAGGGACACGTTTAGACTCACTCCTAGCTCTCAGGTGCGCAACATGATGCAGGACCCGCAAAACGTGTTCAGAGTTTGGGTCTGTAGCGGCCCCAGCAGCGCGATCAGGTTGGGATGGACGGGTTTGTCATCTGTGCATGAAAGAACTTGTCTGCAGACATCTTGGGAGCGAAGAAGAGCTCCGCGAAGTGCTGGGCAGGTTCGTTGCCTTCACTGACTGACAATCATTCAAATGTTCCTTTAGCCCTGGCCTCTCTCGCAGTTGGGAGTCCGAAGAGGACTTTTGCAGGTATTGTTGCTCGTGAGCATTAGCCTTAAATGCTCTGATTCCCCAGGCTGTAGGCTGTTCGCCAAAGTCGTTCAGCACTCGAAAGTGCTTGTTCGAATCAGGTGCCCTGTCCGAGTTTGCAAGTTTTGTGCTTCATTCCATTCTTTTATCCTTGCCCATTGAGTTGGCCGATTGAGTTTTCCCCTTCCTTGCAGGGAGCTACAAGCTCTGGACGCCCTTGACATCGAAAACATCTATCACATGCACAGATGCCTGGCCAACCCTGACGAGTATTCAGAGGCTGATGCACGGTCGTCGGCACCTGCTAAGCTCCCTCCTGTACGTTTGCTGTGCGCTCTTCGCTGATCGCTGTAACATGCTCTTGTCTCAAGGTTGGAGACTGGGACAGGCTCATCGAAGAGTACTTGATTGCACATGTGAGATGCTGATTGGCTCCATCGTAGAGCACTGAACGGTTGGTTCTTGCTTCTCGACAGAGCGCTAAGGATTGTTCGGTCATCTTCACGCTGACCATGATTGACAAGCAAGAACACGATTCATCCTCAATCATGTCATCAGCCAAAAGTCATGGATTCGAGCTTGTTGATGAAAGTGAAAGCTGCGCTGTGTTGTACAGGTTTGGCGTGGTAACGTGTTTCCGGATGGAAGCGTTTGTGTCGCGATTGACACAGGCCCAGATTGACCTTGATATCAAGCTTCGCACCAAAATCCCCGAATACATGTAAGACCATCTCCTCAATGATCCCGTGACCCCGTGCTTGCCAAGGTCACAAGATTCACGGATCCTGGAGGGGTACCTGGAGCACAACGCAGATAAATGTTGAATCAATCCGCAATAAATGTTGAATCAATCCGCCATGAGCTCGAATAACATCAACTCTTGTCTTCCAACTTAGCATGAAGATCTCTTCTCCCTATCATCCATGCTCCATGCTCCCTCCCGCTCTCCTTCCGCTTCCAGTCCCACTTGACCAGTGTTTGTCGGGGACTGTGATCGGATACGGGTACTTTGCCCTGGAAAGAAGGGGGTACCAGCACCCCTCGTATCAATGTCCTCTAGTGGGTGGGGGTGACACAAAATGGTACAAAAAGCTGGGTAGTTACTCGATCAATGAGGGGGTGGGGTAATCAATGAAGGACCCCTGGAACACCAGACACTTGGCTTTTGGGAGACACCGACATGCTGGTACTTGGAGGGAATGCAGAGGACATGGGAGGAACCGGGGGGGGGGAGGAGGAGGAGAGTGGAAATGATGGAGAGTTCATGATAGAGTGGAGAGGATGGAGACGAGTGGAGGAAGGATTGGAGGCAGATGGAGGAGTGCAAGACGGAGTGATGGAGGGGAGAGAGGAGAAGAAACAGGGAGCGGGTATGTTCTGACCAAGATGTGTTACAGGCTGTGAGGAACTGGTATTGAGCTCCGTACACTCATTCCAAGATGGTTGCTATGCCTGCAGCGAAGCTGTCGTTGTTGACATGTGAGAACTTGTGAGACTCACCTTGAGTTGAGTTTGACATTCCTTCTAGTCTACTCCTGCCTGCCTGCGCTTCTATACGCGCAAACTGCTTCTGTTCCTGGTTGTGGATTATCACGTACTCCTCAGCCATGCCCGATCTTGACCAGTAAGGGATACATGCATCAAAACCCCGATGGCTCGCCGAACGACCAAGTTTTTGAACCGCCGTTGAGTCAGCAAGACGTTGCATGTGAGTGATCAGGGCTGCAGTGCATTCTTGCATGCTGAGAGATGTCTGTTTCTGAGAGATGTCTGCTTCTGAGAGATGTCTGCTTCTCAGAGATGTCTGTTTCTGAGAGATGTCTGTTTCTGAGAGATGTCTGTTTCTGAGAGATGTCTGTTTCTGAGAGATGTCTGCAGGTACAAGTAAGGCAGCAACATGCGTGAACAATGTCTGTAACTATGCGAACGGCATGACCGGATTGGGACCGTAAATTTCTTCACTGATGATTGGTTCTCCTTTGACACGACATTGTAGATCTAACGTTTGGTATGAATTGAAGCCCGGAAGTCCTGCTGTGTGCGGACACGGCAACCGAGAGTTCTCATTCTTTGCCAAGAAGGGAACCAACGCAAACAAGGTTGCCGCCTTCCTCCCTTGATACCTACAGTCTGATGGATGTCTAGGTCTTGTTGGTTCTGTTGGCCGGTGGAATGTGTTGGGACTCAGCTACGTGCCTTGGGAGCACACCCTCTGACCGCAAGATGGCTGTAGACTCGCTGTCTGACAGCTACCAAGTCGTCGTTGGGGGCGTTCCCCAGACCATCGACGAACTTGCCCCCGCTGTTCCCAAGGCCTTGAAGAATGTTTGGTCGCCATCTGGAAAGTCGACGTTTGAGACAGGAATACTGCAGTCAGATTCGCAGTTCGCGGATTGGTCAGTTGTAGTCGTGCCGGATTGTACGGGAGACATGCACATTGGTAACAGGAGCATCACGTACGATGCTGGGGCGCCCTCTTGTATTACCGCTCATCATGTCGGAGCAGTCAACACTGGTCTGGCAGTCCAATGGATGATGAAGTACTTTCCTTCCTTGACTGACGTGCTCGTGGTTGGAACTGGGCTGAAAAACTCCAAGGCAACGGGTGGATCTGGAGCTTCGTTCTGGGCATGGTATGTGCAAGAGAGGTATCCTAGTGCGAAAATTCGATCCGTCACAGATTCAGATTTGGCAATTTACGGGCCCGACAAGAAGCATATTTTTCAGAACGATCCATGGGGTACCTTGAATGCGTCGGTGCCAGATAAGAGTTTCCTTGGCAGCTACACCGCTCCCACCTTGCCCGGCAAGAAACCAAACTTCCTCACCCAAGGTTTCCTCCTTCCTGCAAAGAACGAGTGGTTCTTTGCAGACGATGATAAGACCTACTACATGAGGTACATCACGCACTACTATCCGTCCATAATCTTCGCCGACATTTCGTTTCTCAATGATCAAACCCAGGAGATGATTTTCGTGCAAACTGGTGGAAAATTACACGACTGTTGCTATGACGGTTGCAGTTGTAACGCACAGCAGGAGATTAGAGGTGGCAGGTATGATTGGTTGAAATCTCAAAAGGTCACGATCTTGAGAAGAAACAATTTGCTTCCAAATAATTACAGAATTTGGCTTTCTGACCAGAACCCTCATCATTTCTTGTTCTTCTGGAGTGATTTTGTTACCCATCAACTCATTGTCAATGATATGATGACGAATTTTTATCAAAATTCAACAGCGAACACATGGCTTTTCAATCTTGTGAACTCCATGGTGAGTTTCACTACACAGGCTGGTGACAGCACCAGCATCATCATCTCAAACAATCTCAAGCCGTCGAACACCTCCATCTGCTTGACATGTTTGTCTGGAGTTCTTGGCTCTAAACAAGGAGAGGAAAAATGTCTAATGTCGTGGGGATCTGGAGAGAGCTCCATATCTGTCGCACCGAAGTTCAAGACCGACTGGCTTGCTTTGTGGTCCCTCAACGGAGGAGACAGCCCAGATCTGATCATGAGCCAATCGACATATCGTTTCGGGCACGAGTATGTCATCTTGGTGAGCAACTTTCCTTCCTCGCTCCTCCTGCTTGCTGATTCTTTCCTTCCAGCCAGGAGAAACTCTCGCTCAGATTGCTTCTCGGTTTGGAACGACAGATGCTGAGCTAGCAGACCTCAACTACAACTTGATCACCCACATCAGCAATCCTTTCCACGTCATGGCTGGAGATGTCGTCTGCATAGTTCCTCATTTTACAGCTGCTCTTGATAGGATGGGAAATCCTCTTTGCCCGAGCAACTTGCAAACCCTCGGAGCTCAACTCCCTTCCTCGGTGGCTCAGCCTGTGTAGATGAACTTGGGCCCTTGCTTGCAGGGGTTGTACCCCGCCGACAGGCTGCAAGGTCGGAGTTGGCTGTTTCTTACTTGATAGCTTGAAGATCCTGAGTGTAATGGCATGTAGAAACTTAACAGGAATAGAAATCTTTGAAACCTCGTTTGAATCTCTTGTATCAGAATCTCATGTCAATCGCTCTGCACTGTCATGTAGCTTGTTTCTATTGTCCATCCTACAAAAACAGCAATTGCCTATAAAATGCTGCCTCTATAAATGGCGAATTACAAAAAACTTTAACAAATACAAGTCACCGCCATGCTGGGAGGCGGGGGCGAGGAGGAGGAGGAGGTGCCGCACTCGTTCATGTGCCCCATCCTCCTAGAGGTCATGCGAGACCCTCACGTTCTCAGGTGACAAGCCCGTCGAGATGTGCTGATTGTGCGATCTGTCATTGGACATGCCCAAGAATGTTCTGATGAGTTTGCTGCTACCTGATCTGTGGTTCGGTCGATGTTGTTGTTCAAGCTGTTGTTCGGTGCCGCCGTCTTGCCTCCTTCGTTTGAGCCATCCGGCTTGTGACTCTGTAGAGCATGTCTGACTTGTTCCTAGGGAAACTGGGCACACGTTCGAAAAAGCAGCGATAGAAGACCACCTGAGGAGGTACAAGACTTGTCCCATCACAGGCATACAGCTCAAGGACACAACGATCGTTCCCAACCATGCTCTTCGAAACGCCATCGTCGACTATGTTGAGATGAAGCAGCGCACGAGACAGCGAACGGCAGGAGGAGTGGCGATCCCTGACGCATGGATGTTGAAGCGCGAGAGGATAGTGCTCAAGGGAGCCATTGGCCAGGGGAACCAGGGGACCGTCTATGACGCGGAGCTGCTCAACGGGAACGGGCAGCCGACTCAGGTTGCAGTCAAGCTGTTGAAGGGTGATAACTTCACCCAGCCGCAGCAGATGAACGAGATCTTCCTTATGCAGAAGGCTACAATCTTGTGCGACCATGTCTGCAAGCTGCTGGGCATCTGCGAGGACAGGGAAGGGATCCTCATGGTGATGAAGAAGTACGACATGAACCTGCGGCAGCTGTGCGATGCCTCCGGTGGGTCTCTCCCTCCCGTGTCATGCTGCAAGTATGCCATCGAGATCTGCGAGGCCATGGAGAGCCTGCACGCTCAGAACGTGGTCGCGATGGACCTGAAGCCTCAGAACATCCTGTGGGAGAAGAGCAGCGACGGAGTCTTCGTCAGCGATCTCGGCACCTCCCGCCAGATGGACTTCAAGTGCAAGAGCTTCAGCCCGGGGCAGGTGATGGGAACCCCAAACTACATCTCCCCCGAAGCCTGGAGCCCCCCGGCAGGAGGAGTGACGACCAAGACGGATGTGTGGAGCTTCGGCTGCACTCTGCTGGAGATGAGCACGGGGAGGATGCCATGGGAGACGATGAAGATCGGGGAGATCATGCGAGCTGTGTGCGAAGAGAACAAGACCCCTGACGTCTCCTCCGCACCCCCCGCGTTTCATCCTGTGCTGATGGGCTGCTTCATGCGAAACCCGGTTGAGAGGCCGAGCTTTGGGCAGCTCGCCGACTCGTTGAGGGGCGTCATGCAGGAGCTAGAGAAGCAGGAGAATTCTTACTTCGCCACAGCAGCAAAGATTGCCCGAGGGGCGTTGAGCGCGGGTGCTGCCGGTCGAGGCTCGGAAACACCAGGGGAGGGTCAATCAAGCTCGGTGAGGGCCCTGATCTGAAGTCGACCCCCTCTCACATCCTCCTCCTGCAGCTCTTTACCATGAAAGCGATGGACTTCGCCATGACGGGAGCGATTGTTGCTGCCCAGGCGTCGGTCATCAAGGAGCAGACGGGGTCACTGGCTGTCTGCTCAGCGTGTCTGTACTGATCGTCGTGGCTTGCAGGAGGCTGAAGAGCACGATAACTGCCTCGTCCTTCGTGAAGGACTTGAAGAAGAAGGGGGCGAACATGGTGGCAGAAACTATCACAGAGAGACTCAAGTCCAAGAGCAGTCAGTACCAGGTGGGAGCGAGAAGGTTGGGGGGGTAACAAAGCAAGTTCTGAGCTCCTTGGACAGGACCGCGTGTGCCAGAAGTTGAAGGAGACGGTGAGGAGTCAGGAATCTCTCTGGATCTCTGTCTCACTTCCTTGTCAGATGTTGAATGCAGCGGACAAGCTGGAGGAATACTCGAAGCATTCCAGCAGATAACAAACATGATGGCAAGTAGTGTATTATAACTCGTAAACCCTCGTCTCGCAAGGTCTTTCTCGATCGCAGGGTCCACACGCCGCCTCATGGTACCTGCTGCTCACGTCAAACCGAAAGTCCCACCTTACGAGACTGCTCCATGACAACTCAAGAACGTGATGAGAACACAACAACATTATGTCCGTGAAAATAACAGGAACTTCGTCAACGATCAGAGTCCCGTTGTTACATCACGAGGGTGTTGGTGAGTTCTATACCATTGTGAGATGGCCTTCTCACAACGGTTCAAACTCTCACCGTGCATCATAGCGAGCATGCTAGTGGTGGTGATGGCGGATGAGAGTGAAGATGAGTAGAAGGAGAAAGATGAAGAGGATGGTGAGTGGGACAAGGAGGACAAGGATGAGGATGAGAGGCAGAAGGACGGGGACTAGGATGTGGAAGAGCAGGAGCATTACGATGCGTAGGGGCAGGAGGAGTATGAGGAGGGGCAGGAGGAGGGGCAGGAGGAGGAGTAAGAGGAGGAGAGAGGGAGGGGCAGGAGGAGGGGCAAGAGGAGGAGGAGGAGGAGGAGGAGGAGGAGGAGGAGGAGGAGGAGGACGGTGAACTGCGTTCGCACATCACTCACGTGCATTCAGTGTCGTTCTCGGTTTCAAAAGCCGTTACCCTTAAACATTGTACTTATCCGTTACGTAACGGATGGGGCGCTGGAATAGAGCAGGAAGCAGAGCAGGGGAAGAGAGCCAGGGAATGGGGGGGGGGGGGGGGGGAGAAGGAGGAGGAGGAGGAGGAGGAGGAGAAAGGTGAGAAGGATGATGATGAAGATGAGGAGGAAGGTGAGAAGGAGGAGGAGGTTCATGATGATGAGGAGGAGAGAGAGTGAGGGAAGGTGGGGGGGAAGAGAAGGAGGAAATGTTGAGACGAGACTTGGAAGAGGTCTCAGGAAGACAACAGAGCAGTGCAACAGGTCAGGCGCGGGGCAGCAGGAGATCATGGCAGCGCAGAATGAGAATTTGGTCAGAGTGTGAATGTTTTACACTCTCCATTCCTCATCAGTAGAAGTAGACGTAGAGAGGTCACTGAGTTACTGCGTCACCTCACAATGTTTGCGGGCAGGTCCATCCGCCATGGCATCGAAGGAGTAGGGAGAAGGTGCCTGACTGGAACCAACGAGCGTTATAAGATGAAAGGACGGGTGGGGAAGCGAACGAGACCCCAAGGGATGCTGAAGGTCATGTCCTCTCCTGTCGTGATGTGCTCTCTCGCGATCCTACTCGTCTGGGTATCTGTCTCCTACTACTTCGTCAGCTACAGAGTTCCGAGACACGAGGAGCAAGGGTCCCTCCCAGCGCACGAGCCCACCCGCCCGCATCCACGGAAGTCTGTACTTGATGCTCGGCGACCTATTCGTGTGGACGAGATGAGGCGTGCAGCTGAAGCTCTGGTGGAGAGAGTGGTAGGGCGCAAGGCAGCCCAGGCCTTCCAGATAGAGGTCTTCATCAAGTCGAACGAGGACGACGCCGACTCCTTCGAAGTGCATGACCTTGTGACGGTGGATGGAGGACCCCAAAGGATCCTCCTCCGAGGGACCACTGCTGTCTCCGTGGCGTCTGCTCTCAACTGGTACCTGAGGTATCACTGCAGCGTCGACACCTCTTGGATGTCAAAGTTTCCCCTGGTGCTGCCCCGCCAGCTCCCGAGGGTTGGCAGGTCGATCGTGAAGCAGAGCTTGGTGAAGTGGGGATACTACGAGAACGTCTGCACCTTCTCGTACACGCAGGCTTGGTGGGACTGGGAGCGGTGGGAGAGAGAGATCGACTGGATGGCAATGAGCGGCATCAACCTTCCCCTCTCCTTGACTGGCCAGGAGTATATCTCTCAGCGCGTCTTCAGGAGGCTCGGACTCACAGACGAGCAGATGGCCTCCTACTTCACGGGCCCTGCCTTCCTTGCCTGGAACAGGATGATCAACATCAAGGCCTGGGGAGGGGGCCTCACGCAGTCCTGGATAGATCAGCAGAGAGATCTCCAGCTCAAGATCCTCGCGAGGGAGAGAGAGCTGGGAATGCTGCCTGTGCTCCCTGCCTTTGCTGGGGGTGTGCCCGAGGGAATGAAAAGCCTGTTCCCTGAAGCAAAGTTCACCCGCCACGGCAACTGGGGCGGATTCGCTGAGCAGCACTGCTGCGTGATGATGGTGGACCCGACGGACCCTCTCTTCCTCAAGATCGGCAAGATGTTCGTCGAGGAGGTGCGAGCGGTCTACGGCAGCAATCACATCTACTCCTGCGACACCTTCAACGAGAATCGGCCGAGGAGCGAGCATGGAAGCGTCGGGCTAGACTTCCTGTCGCACTCCTCCCGAGCAGTCTTCGAGTCGATGCGAGCAGCTGACCCCGACGCCGTGTGGCTGATGCAAGGGTGGCTGTTCATGAACGACGCCAGGTTCTGGCAGAAGAGGGAGCTCGACGCGTATCTCAGCGGCGTGCCTGAGGACAGGATGATCATCCTTGACCTCTTCACCGACGTGTTCCCCGTGTGGAAGAGGAGGGACCTGCAGCGGCCGACGCCGATCGAGAAGAGAAGGTGGGTCTGGAACATGCTACACTCCTTTGGAGGGAATTCAGGCATGTACGGGAGGCTGCAGGTGATCTCCAAGGACCCGGTGGTTGCCAAGAAAGAGTCCCAGACGATGGTGGGGGTGGGGATCACGACTGAGGGTATCGAGCAGAACCCAGTGGTATATGAGATGATGGCGGAGATGCGGTGGAGGGAGCAGGAGGTCGACGTTATGAGCTGGGTCGAGAAGTGGGCGGACAGGAGGCTCGGGCCGGAGGCTTCGAGGGAGAGGAAGGCCTTGGGGGAAGAGGCTTGGAGGGAGCTCGCTTCCACTGTCTACAGCTGCCCGGGCACGCAGATGGGGCAGGTGAAGAGCATGGTGGAGTCGCGGCCGCGGCTAGACTTGGCGTCAGGATGGATCCCTAACTCGGACTTCATGCCCATCAAGAGGCACTACCCTGAAGAAGCCCTGGTGCGAGCATGGCTGAAGCTGCTGCGGGCGACGCGAGGAGGAGCCGATGGCTACACGTGCTCGAGCTCTGCTTCCTTCGACATAGCCGACGTGACCCGTCAGGTCCTCTCCGACCTCTTCGCCAGGCTCTTCCAGCCCCTCTCCTCCTTCTGCCAGACTCGCCTCGCCGGGTCTGCTGCTGTGCGGTCGTCCGCTCGAGGAGCAATCAGCACGGAGGAGGAGGCGGAGGAGAGGATGCAGACGCTGCTGGGCATCATCTCTGACATGGACAAGATGGTGGGGACGCAGCCGCGCATGCTGTTGGGGAAGTGGATCGAGGACGCGCGAGCGTGGGGGAAGAGCAAGGAGGAGGAGGAGGTGCTGGAGTTCAACGCCAGGAACCTCGTGACGCTGTGGGGGCCGAGGGGAGAGATCGCCGACTACGCCTCGAAGCAGTGGCAGGGGTTGTTGTCAGACTACTACATGAGTAGGTGGAAGCTCTTCTTCGAGCACCTGCAGCAGGCGATCCGGGGGACACGAATCTTCAGCCAGCAGAGGTTCCAGCAGGAGCTTCTCGTCTTCGAGCAGCAGTGGCAGACGCGGACTTCGTCCTCCTTCCCCTCCTCCCCCGAGGGAAATGCAGTCGAACTGGCATGGCAGCTGCACGACAAGTACATCAAGCTGATCCAAGGAACGCTCGGACAGGGGACGGAGGATTTGCTTCCCCAAGGACCCGTCGTGCATGCTCCTGGGGCAGACATCCTTGCAGCTGATTCCCCGAGAGGAGGTGAGGAGGAGGAGGAGGAGGAGGAGCAAGAGGAGGAGCAAGAGGAGTAGGAGCCTAGGAAGTAACTGACTCCTTCGGTTGCTCAGAGCGAGAGGCAAGGGATGGAGAAGCCTTGCTGCTCGACGCTGCTCAAGGTGCAGGTCTCTTTCTCCTGGTTTCTTTCTCCCTACTGTGCTGACGGTGTGATTGCAGCTGAAGACTCAGCATCCTCCTCCTCCTCCTCCTCCTCGAGGCGTCGGAGGAAGTCGCGGGAGGGAGTGGCGAGCGGCTCCTTGAGAGATCAGCTGGAGGGAAGGCAATAGGAGGAGGACGAGGCTGCTGTATTGAGATCATAATGACTGCGAAGATTGAACGACACATTAACAGAGCAGAAAAAAATTAAAAGGAGGGAAGTTGGAGGACTCTCCTTTCTTCCAACGTCTCTTCCACCACCTTAGTCTCCTCCTCCTCCTCCTCCTCCTCCTCCTCCCCCCCCTCCTCCATTCTTGTCTCTATCATCACAGCTCGGGGATATGGTACACTAGCGCACGAGCGAAGACCACGCGGCAGAGAAGTAGTCAGCACCTGCAACGACCTCATCGAGGCCGAAAGAGAGAGGAGGAGAGGGGGGGGGGGGGGGGGGGGGGAAAAGAGAAGGAAGGGGAAAAGGGGAAAAACAGTGGGGACAGGAAAATGGGGGATAGGGAGGGTAAAATTATCTTCTACAGGGGGGGAAAAGGGGAAGGGGTCATTTTCTTTTTTGGCAAGGATGGAAAAA